AATTAAATCTGGATTAAAGATATTTTCTTAAGTTATTTTAAAATGCTTACATATTTTATTTATTCTAAATTTTTTTTGATTATAATTTTTTCAAAATAAAATTCAACATAGTTTTTAAAATGAAAACTTATTACTTGTCAAATTACCTCCAAAATTATAAATCTTTTAAAATAAATATTATATGTTCATCATAAATCAATCAACAATGTTGATATTTTTTCAATGATACTAATCGTTAAACATCATTTAAGTGAATCTACACAAATTATATTTAATAGGCATGGTGAAATATGTATTACATTCAAAAATATTCCTTTAAATAATTTTTAATAACGGGCTATAGATTGTGTTTAAATAAATTATAATCAATTTTGTTGATTTTTATAAGTAAAAATGCATATTCAAAAAATGCATAATAATCGAGAAAAAAAATTCAAACTTTGGAGGAATTTGTCATATTAAGTTCTTTTTTATTGATTTTGGTTTTTTTCACACAAATGGTTTAAATTTTAATCTATTATAATTTTTGTAAATAAAAATATTTTTACATTTAAATTTCTATTAGTATTTCATAATTTATTACTATTTTTATGCTTATTTGAAATTAAAAGATAATACTAATCACTTAGAAGTTTTACTGAGCTTAACTTTTCAGAAACTCAAACTTTTTCATATGCCAAAGAATCATTTTTTCAGTCTTTTAAATTAATCAAATAATTACATAATGGAAAATTCAATTTTTAATGACATAATCATGAATTTTTAAAAATTTTAAATTTTTTTCTCATTTCTGCGCAAAATATTTTCTTAAAATATATTTATTCAATAAATTTAAACTTAAGCGTTATATATATAATCATTATCTTATTTTTAATTGATACAAAATAAATTATATCGTACAATTTTCAGATTTTAAATTTGGTTTTTGAAAATTCAGTTGTTGTTTTGTTTCCATCATTTTTTAATCGTATATCATATAGCCAACATAATTATATATGAACTGACATTTAATTTTTTTACTTGTTTGTTTTGGGCTTGGTCATTTCTATAAGTATTTTTTTGACTCATATTTTTAAATTCTATTTGATATTTAATTATTTTATAACACGATTCAAATGTTTTAATTTTTTTTAAATAAATTTTTTTCATTTTATATTAATTAAAATTTTACTCAAGTTTACATTTTTTCAAAGGATCAAATTTCTAAAACAATATTTCCTATCAACGTATTCATTTCATGTTTTCACACCTTTCTTTTTATTCTGATTCATATTTTGTTAAAGCATAATTATTTTATATTTTTTTTCATCATTTTAAATTTATTGCTTAAGTTTCTTTCTATGGGATTTTAAATTTATTTTTTTTACTCTTATTTATTCATTAAAATTTTTCATCTTCTATTTGAAGCATATGACTCAATATATTGTGTTAATATTTGAGATTATAATTACATATCAAAATTATATTGAAAATTCTTTTCACTTTAGAGTAAGACTTTTTTATTTATTCAGTTAAATATGTATCAAAATTTATGATCAATGTACTATATCGTCATTGTTTTATATGAAATTCATAGAAACGTTTGTTTCGATATTTTTATTGAATGGTTATACACATTTTTAAAAGAATTTTGAAGTATACTATATATGAAGTGATAACTATAAAATTAATCTGTTTCCATTCATTTTTAAAAAGCATATCATGATTTACATCCTCTTGTGTTAATAGTTGTCTGATTAATTTGTATACATTTGAATAAGCGTTTTTATGATATGTATTGGCATATTTGTATCCAATTTTGTTGTCTGATTGATTTTTTTAACTAGTTATTTCAAGCTTTTTTCAACATTCCATATCATTTTGTATTTTTTTGGATCACAACTTCAAATTTTTCAAAATGTTCTTTTGTGTTAATTTAATATGATCAGTCATGTTCATATCAACACTTTAAATCATCATTTTGTTCTAATCACAGTTTGTAATTTTGATTCATCTACAATTATACTCTTATATTAATGAGTTTCAAAATTTGTATTCACTTGGAACATCAAATTTGTGTTGATCATAGTTTTTCATTTTGGATCATATATGATTATATTATTTTATTAATATAATTGATTTTATGTGATTTTTATCATTATGATATCAATTGACAAGAAAGTTCACGAGAAAAGTAAGATTAGAATCGACATTAAATCCTATGATTCAACTAACGGAAGCTATGTCGAGGTATACACAAAGCTTTCTTACAAAATATTTGTATTTTTAAAATACATTTGTTAGACCTTTTTTATGGAAATTGCTTGGTCTTATACGTACTGATTAAAATTATCAAAATTGAAACAAAACAGATATTATTACATTTGCAAAATATATTTTGTAAAATTATTTTCCAAGTTTTTGCGATAATCTTTTCAACTTAAAAAAACAATTATACGGATTAAATTAGTGAATTATTGGATATAATCATGAAAGAGTGTTTGACTTTTTGAAATTTAATATCATGACACATGCTCAAACTAGATATTGAAAATATATCAATACATGACAATGGGATGGTCATGGGGTTAATACCCTGATAAGTAAATGATTTCATCCATGGAGACAACGATTGGGTAAAGTTTACAGGTAACCTCATAGCTTTTCGTATTCCCTTAAACCCATCTGTAATCTAAGGTGGATGATTCTTTTGTTTCAAGTTACTCATTTCATGACGACGTCCCCGCAGATTGGACACTCATCGCAAGGTGAACAGCCATGGAAGTAAAGTTGATCGGATAAGCCGTACGGTTACCTGTAAAATGGATGGGTGTGGAAATTCGAAATCGCTGGACTTTCATGATTACGTCCTGGTTCAATATTCACTCCAGGACTCGATTTTCGTTGGAAGGTACATTCAGAGTATGTGAACCGATGAGTGGGTCTCATCGAAGTATCATAGCTTCTCTCCGGACTGGTTCATGAATGTGCTACAACTTGTGCATGCGTGCACACATCAGCAAATTCAGCTCGAACTCTAGTACAGCAAGTTGAATGTTGAAGAAGGGGGGGGGGGGGGGGGGGGGGGTGACTTTGAATAGCATTTATTTAGTGACTGTCCTTCACCTTGCTTTGGACAGACTTTAAGGTCCCTATGTCGCAAAGGTCAAAGTATGGTTGACATGATGAAGAATACTTTTCGTCACTGGGCTGATATGAAGTTGTGGTCAATCTAGACAAAGTTCACTAGGCTTAGCTGGGATGTGAGAGGATGAATTTACAGACCACGAGAGTATGATTGAATACAAAATTTGTACATAAATATATATATACATATGGTGTCATTTAAAAAACCTGTGTTCTTACGTTCAATGGAACAATAATTTACATCAACGCCATTAGTATAACATACCAACAACTTACTATAATGTTTTGTTAGTGATATTAAAAACTTTGGTAATGATAACTTGGAATCTGCATTTAGTATATTTTTAAGTTAACAAGGACAAGTTTATTTTTTCCATGATTTGATGTGTGGACTATATTTGATGTGCATCGGATAGTATCCGATCCAATTAATTCTAATCTCGCAAAGAAATACTTTGTGTTTTTCTATCCATGCCGAGAAGTGACAAGACTTATTTGACAATCGCTGATTATAAAGTTCGTAGAACGTTAAGAACCTAGACTGAAAAGGTGACTTGTTATTTACACAGTAGCATTTGATTAAATCATTCATGGTGAGTTAAAAGAATCGACTCCAACTAGTTTACCTTTTCTTAGAAAGAATACCAGTCATTTTCTAAACTCATGGTTTATTTATTTCGTCAACAGTTGCAAGACAGAATTGATGTTAAATTTTCCATTTTTCAATATTTTGAATAATGGAGCTTTATTATGTTTAAAAAAATGGTTCTTGAGTAAGTGTTATTTCCATTTAGAATTTAAAAAATGAATAAATGATATGTTGGAAATTTTTTTCTTTGAAAATAATAATAAAAATCTATAATATATGACATGAAGATGGTTTAACACTTGTTTTTATATTTGATGAATTTTCAAAAATATTAACTAATTTCTATTCGAATATATGATCTAAATATTTTGGTCGCTAATACATAGTATGGAAAATTACGATTTTTTATATAAAGAAAATACATTTTTCGCAAGACATCAAATAATCTGCTTAAACAAGACCTGAGAAATCCACTAGGTTATGTTTGAAAAGTTTGTCAACATTCATTTCTATTGTAGGTGTGGTCATATTATTACTACACGTTATGAGTTTCGGAAACTAGAGAATCATTTGCAACAAATTTAGAATTTTCAGTTGTTGGAAAATCTTAGACCTTGTAGATTACAGTTGGTTACAACTTTTATCTGTAAATTACACTGGAGTATATTTTTTATCGAAATAGATGCTATTGAAGGTGAACATAGTTCTCTTGGAACATAATGCATTTATAAAATATTAGCCGACCATGTACTCTCTAAGATGTCTACTCATTAGTTTACAATATGCAGAAATAAAGAAAAAGGTGGAAATTTTCTAATATGATTGGAAATACAAGTTTTATGTTGGAATATAAAATATGTTATGATGCCTTTATGTTCACTCTTTCTGTATCATTTCTTGGAGAAAAAATGATTATTGAAATTTTTGAATAAGTATTTCATCTTAATGATTTTATTGTAGTTTATAAAAAATATATCTTCTTTCGATGTAAGAGTTATGAGATAGAAACCACGTACTGTAGTAGAGATTATACTATATTGTACCAATAACAAGGAAGAAAGTTAAGATGAGGCTACGACAAGAGCATCATAATAAGAGATAAGTAAAAAAGTCTACATACTACAGTATATAATGAGTAATCATAGGAAGCCAATGTATCGCACCCGTGGTGTTATTTGTACATTTATAGTTAAGAAGCTGTAAAAATGCACAATAACTTTTGTTGTGACAAAATTGCAGATTTGACAAGAGGAAGATCATATACTTTGACTTAGATTTGAGTCTTCAGCCAAAGATTTCATATTAAGTATGTTCGTCAATATGCAGCCCATGATTCAGTACATTCGACTCTGTGAGATATTCTGTGTACTTCATGGTCTACACTAAATAAGATGGTCAGCCAAAGACTGATTAATTAAGTATACATGAATGATAGAGACCAGAAGATTTAGCTATGCATGCCTTCGATCGCATGGAGATAAGTCACACCCACATCCTCCGTAACTTCTGAACATTATTTGCTCGGATTCAGGACAACATTCATCCATCCATCTCGAGCATGATTAGGCAGGGAGTGGATGCTCGATGGATTCTCCTAAAGCGGATGGGGTCCATGAAACCGTTACGGAGGTATTTGTTGTCGGCAGAGCGAAGGCATTCGAGAGCAGCTCGGAGATGGACCCGAGGGAAGGAGACGTGCATCTCCCCGTCCAGAGCTTGGTAGCTCGAGGGGAGGGGGAGCTAAAATTGGACCTTCAATCTATCTTTGGATCGATGGGAAACATGTCGAACCTTTGCAGGCCGACGGCATCGACGACGAGTTTTGCAGCTCTTCCGTGCTCCAGCAGCAACACAAATCTGGTCAACCAAAGACAACGATCAGTCCAAGCGCGTCTTTTTATCGGCCCCGGCGCCGTTCCTGCAGCGTCTGGCATCCTATGCCGCCCCGCCCCCGAATCGACAACGAACATGTTACGCTCGGTGGTTCTCGCGCAGGTCGTACCTCTGAGAAATAACACGGTTCATGCTCAGATTAATTGGGGTCGAGGGTAACTTTGGTCGAGATCGATCGTCGTAACTTCGCTTCCTGGTGCGCGCTGTATCTTCTACAGTGTGCGGAGCAGATCGCAGCTTTCGTGGGCCACAGTGACTTCTCGCACCTGACGATTCTTCGTTGTTGTCGTTGAATTTCGGTCAATGTAAATTAACTTACTAGAAGGAAAAGGCCGCCTGGAATTTCACCAGCAGTGACAAAAGCCTGGTTCCCACTCGGGTCAGGGTATCCTGGGCCTACATGTGACAAAGTGATAATAATCTCTGCCTCCACTTGTTGACTATGAAGGCCCGACGCTGCAATTTCTCGTGAGAACTGCCGAGAGATTGCGCCTGTCGATTTCATCTCATCTCGTGTGCGCGAGGCACAAATGGATCACTCTGAGCTAGAGTGGATGGTCATTCGTTTGTTCAGGAGCGAGGGTCGAGACATCGAAGAGGTGAGTCTTTGGATCACATTGTGCCACGTTGTTCAGAACGGATCCGATCGACGTGAAGAAAGCTCCGGCTCTGGCTCTGGCTCTGGCTCCGGCTCGGTTCATTCAAAAGTCCCGAGATACTTTTTATCGAGAATTGCGTGAGTCGAGAAATTTAAGGTCGGCGGGTGAGTTTCAAAGAGTGGCCGACGGAAAAAAGACCTGTGATCTTGAGGTCTTGCAGCCGATCTGAATCCGTCCGTGAGACACGGGGACAATAGAGCGAAGCCTCGGCGATTTACCGAAGAACGAAAAAAAGACATAGGGACATGAATGCTCTGGAAAGCGTGGCCATCGCGGCGTCGATTTTCCTGTCACACACAGACGGACGGGACGATACAGTAGAGGATATGGAATTACAGTGCGGAGGAGAAGGTGGCTCTCGGATCGCAGCCGAAAGCGATCAAATCGATCATCCAGTTCGCAAGTTGTTTTCGATGAGTCCAGCGATGCGGTAACCGTGTGACACAACGAGGCATCGATCGACTCGGGGAAGGCAAAAGCGACTCTTGGCTGCAGTGACGGAAGCATAGCGGCTGACAATGTCTGGGGGTCCGAGTCAGCCGACACTCCACAAGCTGGACCCCAGCCGATCAACCCATATCCATTCCAGGGGTCGGGTAGCCAATTGTCCTCGGGGCTTCTGCAACCAAGCGTCGCGTCGCAGCTGAGAAGAGCCTCGTCCGTCCTTTCGGAGTCCAGTCATGCAGGGCGATCTGCCGAGAGCTCTCGAGAGCTCGAGCTGAGGATCAGGTTCCATGGTCGTCAGCCAGGCAGAGAGGCAGGCAGGCAGCTCGGCAGGGGCCAGGCTGAGGTGCGCAGCTCGCTCGCTGCGGCTTCAGCGATGGACTCAATCGCTTGGATTCATGGCCAGCTCCAGTGGGAGCGGTTGGGGCTACGGCCACTGTGGACTCGGAGCTAAATCTGACCACCATGACCAGTGGACGGCGAGAGCCTCAGGCCCTCAGGGCAGCTGAAAGCCTTTTTGGCCGCGAGCATCTTCCCATGCTCAGGGACCCGTTTATAGAATGATCCCTGACCTGATTTTTCCACGAAACCATTTACTGCTGCCACCGATTCACCAGCCTGCCTACATCGCATCGAGCGTCGAAAGCAAGCACCCACTTTTTCGCGATGCGATCCCTCCTGCGCGAGCTTCCGCCAATCCGCGCACTCCGCTCTTATCTGATTCTCTCTGGACTCGTGGTGGATCTCGCAGGCACCCCCTCCCTCTCCTTCCTCCCCTTCCTCCTGCCCTGCTCACCGTCGTCCTCATGTACACTACGCGAGGTTTCCTGTGAGCTCCTTATAATTTTGATACCCCCTGGGGACCTCGACCTCGACCTCCGCGCATGGTAGGCATGCGATTAGATAGCAAGAGGGTCGCGGAGCTAATGAAAAAATTATATTTTTGATTGTTTAAATTATTGTATCGGGAGCCGAGATGCCTGTGGGGCTGGGGGTGGGTCGGGGTCGGTGTGGACAATTTCGAGTGACCTGTTTCGACCCGTGACCCGTCCCCGAGAGAGGTCCGGCCCGTTAATAAGACGGACATTAATCAAAGAGGACATTCATAAGGGAATTCCGACCCTGGAAATGAAAATCGGAGTGTACACCTGTTCTACCCCGATGGCAAACAGGCCTCGTCGGCCATCAATAATCGCCTGGCGTAGAGATTCACGTGCTGCCAACTTGCCTTTGCTGGCAAATGCGTCCCGAACTGGGGACGGGAGTGAGCTGTAGAGGTTCTTCGTATCGTCCCCGTGATCAAATCCCGATCCAGGAATCGACACACTCTTGGTGTGGAGAGGGACACATTAATCAGCTCCTCCCTCCATGGCTCAAAACGAACCGACGAGTCGCCAGTGAGTGACAGACGAATGGAAGTGGGCTCTTCTAACGTAACCGAAGTTCATGAGTTCCTTCCCGCGAAGTGCGAGAGCCCTGGTCATGGAAAGATGGAGGGACGGACACCTAAACTCTGAGACCACCACCGATCCGAACGCCTAGCGCGCAGGGATTGAATCCGGGGCTTCATCCTTTCATCCTTTCATCCTTCATCCTTCTTCCGGCCACAGGACCGAAGGGGTGGGGAATGGATTATTCGAAGAGGGGAGGAGGAGGGGGGGGGAATGGAGGAATTGGGCCTCTGATATCTTGACCATGCGAGCAGGCTGAATCGAGTGGCCAGAGAGCGGCATCAACAGAGTCGTGCCGAATTACCAGGGCGCATTCCAGCCTGCGGCTCGTGCTGTGGCAGGGGATCGAGCTCAATATAGGAGGGCCGGGGAGGGGGGATTTGGGGGGCGCCGATATATATAGCTGCTCAGCCCTAGGGGAGGGGTAGATTATCCGGTGTCGCATGTTTCTGCGTCCGAGATTCACCAGGGGCCTGGATTTGGCCGTGGCGACTTTTTGTTGTGGACAGGAGAGTAATAAAGTGGAAGGGGGGAGGGGGGGATCAACCTGATTCACGAGTCCGGAGCTCTGGGAGGATCAGGACACCCAATATTTGGAGAAACCCATGGAGCCACCAAAAAGTGCCTTGTCTAGTTTAGGGTTTTAGCCAGGATTGCACTGTGGTGAAACGCCTCCCCTTTCAGCCGAGGGAGGAGGCACGCTCGCCTCTCGCCTTTGCTTTCCACTTGGCCGGGAAGCGACAAAGCGATCGAGGAGAGGAGAAGAAGGGGATGAGGAGCGAGCGGAGGGACAGCATCGGGCGCAGATTACAGTAGACAGACACGCAGCGAGAGCATCTCATCTCGCCCGTCGAGAGCGAGAGAGCGAGCAGACCGACAAACGCAGACGCAGGCAGGGAGACGGGCATCGGCGCTTGCAACGATGGCGTGCGCAGCGAGCTCTGTATCGGTGGTGGGAGCGTCGGCATTGGGGAGCGCAGCGGCGGCGCCTAGCGTTCGTGCCGAGAGGCGGGGCTCGGCCGCGGTCGCGAGCGTGAGCTTGGGGAATGGATTGGTGTTCCGGAACGCTTCGGCGGGCGCGCTGGCCTCGCGCCAGAACAATGAGCTGAGCGGCGCTGTGGCGCCAGCGCTGGCCTCGCGCCCCAGGCGCGCACCCGGCGCCGGGCGGGTGGTGGCGCAGCTGGCGCAGAAGGCTGAGTACATCTGGATGGACGGGCAGGAGGGCTCCAAGGGCATCAAGTTCAACGAGATGCGCTCGAAGACGAAGGTCATCCCCAAGCCGCTGCCCGCCGGATCCATCGACTTCCCCGAGTGGTCGTTCGACGGCTCCAGCACTGGCCAGGCGCAGGGCAACAATTCCGACTGCATCCTGAAGCCCGTGTTCTCGTGCCCCGACCCCATCCGCGGTGACCACCATGTGCTCGTGCTGTGCGAGGTGCTGACGCCCGATAGCAAGCCCCACCGCACCAACACGAGGCGCCTGATCGAGGACATTCTGTCGGAGGACGTGCTGGCGCAGGAGACGCTGTTCGGGTTCGAGCAGGAGTACACCATGTTCGGCAAGAACGGACACCCCTACGGCTGGCCCGACGCTGGCTACCCTGCGCCGCAGGGCCCCTTCTACTGCGGAGTTGGGCTCGAGGCCGTCTACGGGCGACCGCTGGTCGAGGCGCATCTGGACGCCTGCGTCAAGGCCGGGCTCAAAATCAGCGGAATCAATGCCGAGGTCATGCCCGGGCAATGGGAGTTCCAGATCGGGCCGGCTGGTCCTCTCGAGACGGGCGACCACGTGATGATCGCGCGGTGGCTGCTGCACCGCCTTGGCGAGGACTTCGGCATCATCAGCACCTTCGAGCCCAAGCCCATGCAGGGCGACTGGAACGGCGCCGGCGCGCACACCAACTACTCGACCAAGGCCATGCGCGAGGAGGGCGGCATGAGCGCCATCAAGGCCGCCATCGAGAAGCTGTCGAAGAAGCACAAGGAGCACATCGCCCAGTACGGGCTCGGCAACGAGAGACGCCTCACCGGCAAGCACGAGACCGCCAACATCGACACCTTCAAGTCCGGCGTCGCCGACCGTGGTGCCTCGATCCGCATTCCCCTGCCCGTGTCCCTGGCCAACAAGGGCTACCTCGAGGACCGCAGGCCCGCCGCCAATGTGGACCCGTACGTGGTTTGCCGCATGCTGATCCAGACCACGCTCAAGGATTAAGCCGGTCAGCCCCGCTCTTTTGCCCTCGGAGATGGGTGCTCGGATTCGATCGTCTGTCGCTGGGGGAGAGGCAAAATCTCGCTCGCTCGCTCGCACTGAAGGTATGGTAGTCTCCTCGAATCCTAGAGTCTTTCAACCGCTAAATTCTGAACTCCTATGGTGCGTCAGTGTAGAAATTTTCGTGCAACCTTCGAATTGAAGTGCTGAGGAACAAGAGAGTCGAGGAGAAGATCATCTGTGCGAGGGGACAGACCAGCCATCAGTGTACTGCGATGATTGACGGTTGCGCAAGTACTGTTTTGTACTCTCGAAACGCCGCATTCATGTCTGTCTGCTCATGGATATGAAATTCAAAAACCCATGATGATTCTAATAAAATCATGAAGAAAGTCAAATTTGTAATTACTTCGTCGATTGCTCTCTCTCTGCTCTGCTCTCGCCCTGTTTCCTTGATGGAAGCGATGTACTCGCTGCCTTATTGATGGTTCCTGTATATGTGGTGGACATTTGGCAATGCGTCATCAACGCTTCGTCCTTGCTACTCTTGAATTGTCACGGACACTGCACTGACCTTACCCGCTATGGCATTGGGTCATCATTTGGAATCAACGGTGGTTACGAAATACTTTGTTTGCGACGCTCTATTGTCGATGGTAGCTCGAATTGCCACCTCGCTCTGTTAGTTTATGAAGCGATGGCCTTATCGCTGTGGGGCAGCCTTCGTGCACGTGAGTTTGTCGCTTTTGAGATTGTTGTACCTGCACGTCATAGCCAAGGCGGATCAATGGAAGTGGTAGTGCGGTGGATTCTCTCAGAGTGGACTTAATGGACAGTGAGGCGCAATTTACCGTATTACGGTTACTAGCATTGTCAGGAATTCGCCATTAGCTTCGAACTGAGCCCACAGTTCTTTGTTCCCCATCATGGCACCTCTAAGTACGCAACCGAGGCTGCTGTCATATTATAGATTGGGTGCCCTGTCTGAAGAATTATCGCGTTTGTACAATCTAGGACCAACTGAATGCATTCACCGGTCTTACTTGATCGTTCAAGTCGAAACATGGGGTGACGAACATGTGCGAACATGGATGCGGTCGAGAAGGCCGTAATTGAGCTGCCATTGAATGTACATTGCCTGTGGCTAAATGCTATCGTTCTGATTCAATTTCGATGTAGTGAGATTGCTGGTGATTTGTTTAGCCCAGATACTCATACAGAGAATGCAAAGCCCAGCAAGTTCCTAGAAGCAATGAAAGTTGTCCTGAAAGATGGAACCGAGTCTTGTGCTAGTAATGTCATGTTAAGAGCAGGTAGGCGGAAGCCATAGCTGCTCTTGACGCTACTACTGAGGTGAAGTACGGTCAGACTCGAGAGATGAATGAACTTGTCTGGAATCGGCCACGTCTTTCTTATCCAATGGAGATGGATAACGCCGTCGTCGTGGAGAATCAGAGTACTAGAAACTTCCGATCGTACCACAAAGAAAGATTTTAAAACTTTGCAACATAGTGTCCATACATGCGCACAATGTGGATGTGGTTTGTCAGGCTCGTCTTTAATGCAGTATTCCGCAATTATCTGAGCGTTGTGGATAAAATCACCATGCTCGGATGCTGAGGCTCGTGCAGCCTACGAAGATGAGTCGATCGTTTTGGATGAGTGGTTTTTTGCTTAAATGAAAATTGAAGTAAGAGTTGTCGTTCACGCTCGCACGAAAATATATTGTTGAGCAATCGGATGACATTTTCCAATTTTGAAGCATTTATGAAAATTCCTAGAATAGTGAAGATTCGTCAAAGTCAGCGGGCGCCAAGTGGATAATATATCTGTGATTAATGCCCAAGGTACAGAAATTGGTACAAGCATTGATCATTTTCGATTCTTGTCGTCACCGTTGTGAGAATATTCTAAATCAAATTGGATAATAGCTGGACTTTACATTTCAGATAAGACCTACAGTCCTTGGAGGAACAGTCCTTGGAGGAGAAAACGATCTTATTCAGCCAAAGATAAAAACTGCACACGATATTTCAAAACACGTCCCCGAAAAAAATTCTCTCTCGCAAAGAATATATAAAGATAAATTTAACTGAGCACGTTCGCAGGATGTCTTCACGCACGAAACTCATGCACACTAACATCCGACAGAATCGAAAAAAAAACCCGTGCACCGTATTTAGGCAGATGTCCTTCATTCCAACGGCTAACGGTACAATTTGTATAAAACTCTTTCCCATGGTTGTTAAAATCCATCGTACCAGATTGAGCAAGTAGACTTTACAAGAGGCACAATTCTACGACTCTTTTGCAAGATTCTCCACTCGAACATTTTCATGAGGAGCTAACCCTTCCACAGCTTATTGTAACTAATTTGCAAACAAGCATGGAGGTGTTATATAAACGAATGTCACATTGGGGGTTTCAACCTCACACAATTATCTTGTGAACAGACTAAAGGCTACCTCACCCGAAGAATTCTGGACCGTAGAGAAGATAGATTCAGATAAAGATTTGAATGACCAGGAGCAGTCCTTCATCTGACATTCCTTCATCATCTCCGTACATGGTACTTGAAGTCATGATTGGACCTTCAACGATATAATCTCAGAGAAACATATCACATATAAAAGTGTTAAGAAATAGTTCTAAGATTGCAGAGTCTCATTTCGTAGTTTAAAAATCATGTGATTTTTTAATATCTTCAACCTAAGTGGTAAACATTACAAGATATATGCTTCTATTTATAATTATATGTTATTTACAATCAAGTTTATGAAAGAGTACGTGAGACACTTCGATGAAATTTATCCCAAAAAAATAAAATATCATTTTAATTCGTAATTGCAGTATTTTTGGAAGACTGTGCCTTAAATTGATACAGGATTCAAGATAATAATATGTTTATTTCCTTGTCAGAATGTAGCGCATTTTGTTTGACGCTTTACAACATGGCTATTGAGTGAACTGAAAAAACACATTTTAACTGAAAAAGTCAAGGTTAGCGTACAGAGCAAAGTGTGCCACATGACCGAGAGCTTGTAGTACGAAGAGCAAAGAAAAATAACTGAAAAGATGGAAAGAAAATATCAAGCCTTAAATGGATGAAACTCAATGAAGAGCTCGTAGAGGGATGGTGTGTCTTATAACAAAAGAAAATATGTTAGAATTAATGATGTAATACTGAATATAAACTCATACAATCCTTTTTTGTGTATAGAGAGTTTTGAGTGCATTGTTGCCAAGCAAATAAATCACCGATCAAGGACGAAGAGTTCAAATTCAGTTGATAAATTCTTTTCTGTCTCAATTTATAAGTAAGATGAAAAATGATCTGATTCATTCCAATTTGCATTCAAAATCATATATATATACACGTTTCAATACAAAGCTTTCAAATTGAGATAAATTTGATTCACATCCTACTATAGATTTATGCATTGAGTGAAACAAATGATCATATGTAAGTAAGAGAAATTTTACTAATTTCCAATCATATTCATATATCATAAAAAATTTCACAATTTTGTGAACAAGTTTTCAGTATATGATAAAATATGAAGCATCTATAATGTAAATAAATATGTACATAAATAGAATAAGTTTTATAAGGATAGATTTTTTATTAAGTTATATTTATGAAAATAAAGTTTTTAAACCATTTTAAAATACAAATTAAGTCCAAAAAAATTGGCCATGAAAGATTAAAATATTCTCATCAATTGTGTGAGTTGTATATACAAGATTTTATACATCATAGACAATCTTTATATAGTAAAATTCAAAAAGTTTTAAATTTTTTTGAAACCTAAATTGTATCACCTTCATCTGAGTTATAGATGAAATGCATTACTATGCTTCTTATTTTCTTTAAATGATGTTTATTTACATTAAACTATAAATCAATTTCAAATTATGTATTAAATGTATTTAATTATAGTATTTTTCGCAACCTGTATGGAAATAAATATGACATTTCTTATCTAAATTTTTTTCATTAAAAATTATGAATTTTTTTTAAATTTTTTTTGGAATTTTCAATAATTTGATGAAAATTTCAATTATCTATATACAATTTTTTCTAAATAATTCAGTACAGTAATTTTATTTCAAGACTTATTTAATAATATTTCAATACATTAAATTATTTTATGTTTTTTTCTAATAAGATCATTATGTTTGTGATAGTTTTGTTTATATATAAAAGATCTGATTATTTCAAATTTTATATTTTTATGTTTTTATATATATATTTTTGAATATTATATTTTATGAACTTTGAGATTTATTTTTTTCCAAAATTATTTAATATTTATCTACTTTGTTATAAAGTATGTTTACATTTGATGAGATTTTATGCTGTGATTTTTTTAAAATAATAAATTATTATCTTTTAATATTTAATTTTTTTCCAACATAAAACTTTAAAATACATCTTTTCTCAAATAAGAACATTTTTTCAGAAATTAATATAGAATTAAATTTTTTTATTTCATTTTTTCATGTAAATCAAAAAAATAAAAATTTTCTTACAAGTTATCAAATTAATGTATTTTTGTAGGATAATCATATCAATTCATTCAAAGAATACTTATCAAGAAACTCAATTCATGAAATTTTTATTTCAATATGAATATTTTAAAAAATTTATTTTAAATTAAATGGTATTTTTATATTGAAATAGTTAAAAATTAATTATTTTGATTTTATGACTTGTATTTCATTCATTTACCTTTAAGATGAAAATATTTAATCATGCTCTTAAAAAATAGTATAAATTAGTTTAATGATGATATAATTTTTGTTTTTAAATTCCTTCATATCTTACATCTTTTATCTTTGACTTCAACAGTTTTGATATTATAGCAAGTTTACATTTGAAGTCCATTTTTGTTCTACTTTCACAAATATGCACAAAAAAATTTTCTTTTGAAAAACTTTCGGTAGCAATGAGTAACAATGTTTTTTTTTTTGTTGTAAAAAACTACAATTGTTGACAAGCTTACATTTTGAAGAATTTTTAATTAAACAAATATTATGACTTCGCGATCACATCACAAGGATTATGTTTTTTATTCATGTACATTATGAAAATTATCACTTAAAAAGTTGAAAATTTCAAATTTTTCTAAACAATTCATCTTCTTGTAAAACATGTGCAATGAGTTCAACCTTGAACTAAAAGTTTTCGTCTAATCTACTGGTATTGATCCAAGATGGTGTCAAAGAACCTCAAACATGATGATAAATCATGATTTTATTATTTTTTGCAACTTGAAGATCAAATTCTGAAAGCTTCACAAACATATTGATCTCCAGAAGTAGATATAGTTAGTATTTGATTTCAAGTTTTTTGTTGATAAAAATAATAATTTGTGAAAGTTTAAATTTGCAAACTTTATTGTAGAAGAAAAATTAAATTTAAGTTTGTGATATGATTAAATGAGATTACAAGATTTAGATACGTTTCAAATAGTTGTCAGTTTAAAATGAAAACTAGTGATTGAATAAATTATCAAATAGAGTTTGTAGCGCATTATGTCAAACTTGCTACAATTTTATTTCAGATAATTTTTATCTGTTTGTCATTGATATTGATCTTTAATAAATTTCATCAAAGGATTCAAAAATTGATTTTTAAAATACACAAATAACTTTATAAAAGAAAATCTATGCTGTAAAAGATTTAAAAGTCAAAAACAAAAAAATTGTTATAAAATTTTTTGTAAACTAAATTTTATTTATTATCCTTTTTTTGTCATTTATTAATCAAAATAATATTTTATACTCATATCGCAAAAAATAGTGAGAAAATAAAATTATTTCTAAAATAAATTTGAACTCTTTTATAAAATCAAACAAGATACATCACCATGCTTAAAAATAAAAAAACATCAAATTTGATGTTTGTTTGATAAATAGATCTATTATTTGTGTGTGGAAATTTTTGTTATGATACATGATTTAGGCTAAAAAATTTTTAGTCTTATCAAAATCAAAAATCCAATTTTTGTTGAAAGACGATTAAAATATGATATTGATAAATTATAATTTAATGATGATATATTTATGATACAAAAATGAAGGTATTGGATGTGCTTACTAACTAGTTAATAATTTTGTGATAAACTAAAGCCAAAATGATGATGAATTGAATGATTGAAACTTCACAAAAATTATTATATGATTAAAGTACAAAATATACATATACTTATATTTTTTTTAAATTATAAATAAGTGATAAAAGAGAATTGGGATTAATTTTTTTTAAATACTGACTTTTATTTAAAATAATAAATAAAACATACAAATGATTTGTGTTATCTTTTGTTGACTATTCTTATGTTGTATGCAAGATAGATTTTGGTTTGATTTTGATCTATTAAAAGAGATGGAATCTACATGTAGTACCTAAACATTGTCTCAAATTATTGTTGACACTAACATTTTTTGTTTCTTGTAGAATAGTAGGAGGCCAATCATCAACTAGGCTGTGCTCGTACTTGGATTACCTTGTTTGCTATATTGTGCTTTCTTTTTTGAGCAACTGTTTTCTAAATGTTTCATTAACAAATGATATTATAGTAATATTTTGATGTTGCTAACATTGAACTATTTGAACTGCTAAGAGAAATTTGGAGTCAACGATGAAGGTGATATGTTGAAATTGTTAAATTTGAAAAAAGTGTCAAGAGAAATTTCAACTATGATTAGTATTTTACATGGATAGCACTATTCAGTCGGTTGTTATTAGTTCATAGATTTGTGAACTCTAGTCTTTCACTAAGGTTTATCTCAAATGACTTTTTGATAATTCATCATGATTCTAGAATTCAAAAATTTCTCTACGTGCATACGTATCAAACATCACTTCACACAATCTATACGTTCACCACTTAAAGCCAATCACTCATCAACACTTCAAGATGATAGTGTAAGTCAAACTTCTATTGATCAAATAAGTTTTTACGCAATGATTGCCAAACAAAGAGGTTTTTATCTATTTATCTATTTGTCTACTTATGAAATTACTATGTTTAACACATAATAATAATCATCAACTTTTGCAGTTTGCATTGGAATTATTCAAACCTCGGCCCAAAGTTTTTTTCACTAGGGTATCCTAGTATTCATTGAGTTCTTTCATTGGAACACTCTAGTGCCAACTCTTTTGTATGTCATTCAACTCTTCAAATTGTAGAGTTGTATGTCTTACTCAGTCAAACTAATATGAAATTCTATTGGACTGCATCAAGAGATGAACAAACATCAAGAACATTTATTACTACAGTGATGATTATGATAACGGCAAGTTATGAACACAAGCAAATTGATTGGATATCTTCACTCAAATTTCAATAAGTTGAAGATCAAGACATAATTAAGTGTTGTCAAGATTAAAATAATCGGAGCATATTCATTAAGAAGCCTATAAAATTTAGAACCATACGACTAGTAGTTCTATTTGTAAATTATCATTAGAAGTAGCAAAGAGTTAACCATGGTTAGCTTGATCATGACTAAGTTTAGCTAGTTATGAATAAATCTAACTATCAAGATTATATTTGATGAAATAAATAGAATAATTCTAGTTATTATAAATGATCATTGATATTTTCTAGCCTATCAAAGTTTAGATTCTAAGAAGAAAATATATTGACTTTAAATTAGTGTAATGGATAAATAGTGTGAGATTGTGTTTGGGATGAAGTCATGTAGATAAATACTTGTCTTTTAGAATCATGATGAACTATAAAAAATCATGTGAAGTAAATTTAAGTGAAAGTTAGCCTAAAGTTTACAAAACAATTGCATCCTACCATGATCTAGGCAAGAAATCTCTGCATAGTTGCGTGCCAAAGCTTGATTACATTGCACGGATCGACATTGTTGGAAAAAAGTAAGAGATGTGTTTCAACCTTCAACACCCCATCCTTTGGCGTTACAGTACGGATGATAATCCAAGCAGACATGAGTGTCAACACTAATAGTTGACACTCATATTATTACACTCTAGCTTGTTTAATCGTCTAACATGCTGCACAATGCAACACATCACTACAAACCAACATATTAACAACTATAAAGAAAATCTCACACACAAACAAGATGGGAAGCCCATCTCCTATCTCCTTTTGCCACATCACTTTGACTTTTTGATAGATCTGTACTCTTCAATTTTTGTAATTCATTTATGTCTACACTCTCACTTTATCCATGATGCACTCTTCACCTTCTCCCTTGCGCTCTCCCCCCCCTCCCTACCTATCTTCTAGTTGTTTTTTCGTTCTTTGTATTTGTTTTTCTTGGATCGATCTTCTCTTTTTTGTTTTTTCTTGTCCTTGTTCCCACCTCTTTGCTGCAACTCATTCGCAACTCATCTTCGAAAAGAAAAGCCACCATATTCGCTGTTCTTCTTGCTATCTAAGAAAGCGATTTAACATTCTACCTCATGTTTCCACCACAAACTTGCTCTTGAATCATACTGCTCTGCAAACTATCGCTTCTGAAATATGCATGTAACCGGCGATGCACCAGTCCTAAAACCTTCACACTATCCTCGTCCTTTGGCGTGCCACTTTTTGTTCGTGTAGTCTTTTTTGATTCTTGGTTCTTGATCTCGCTACAGAAACAAAGAAATCATGAAGTCTTTCTTTGCTGACACGTTACTCCACTCCCACTTATCTACCAAACCGTCACTAAATTGTACTAGCACTATTTGATTTCTTTTTTCTTTTTACTACTACTTAGATTAACAAAGATAATAGCAATTTTATTTAACTATTCAAATCTCTTATACTCCTATAATTCAAAAAAATTTTCCTACCTTGTCCTAAATTCAAACGTGAGCACATAATTGAACTCACAATGTGTCATTGACATAGAGCTTGCATCAAAGTATTATGCCTATTGTGTTTCACGTTTTTTATTTCATTGTGATATATAAACAATCATTTACAACAAAGTTTTAATTGCTTTATTTACTAAAAACTTACAAAAGAAAATAAAATGGTCATCTCTTCTATACTTTAAATCCAATATGGTTATATATGTGACTTGAGGTCATACATATATATATATATATATATATATATATATTCATGAAATAACAAGGATAACAAACATTTAAGATCGAAAGTATAGATTCAAATATAGAAGTAAATCCTAGAGATAAAGACTGTGATGTTTTGAAAATGTAGGAAGAGTGTCCATATGAAGAAAAATTTCCGTGTAAAAATCATAGATGATGATATTCTGTCATAGACTGTAGTTCAAAAATTTGACTCTAAATATGACTTGCTCAACAACAGACTATGATGCAAAAGATATGTCATATGCAATTCACTAAAGGATGTTAGTGATGTATAAATTTTTAATGTTTGCTTGTTCTTATCACATTTTATACATTAGAGAGTTTTGTAGTTAGCTTTTTTAGTATTAAAGGGTTCCTTATGAAGAATGATAAACCTTGTAGTATTGAGGCCACTCAATTTGTTTAGATTCAAATGTAAGATAAAGTATTATGTTCACTGATTCTAGTAAGGTTTATATCTAATATGAAAAAAAATTCATTTGTTTTGGAATGTTAGATTCTGAAAGCCTTGAGTGAAGGAAATGCTTGAGGTCAAAGTAAGTGACATGATTATGTTTGAAAATCATAAGCATTACAATCTATACTTGCTAGAGGTAATTATCATTTGTGATGAAGTTAACTTTTCTAAATGTTGAGTTGAGATGATTCATCTATGACATTCGAGGTTACTACACATGAGTAATAGGTACTTGTCATTCCTTGGAGATATGAACTTGTTACCTAACGTAGATAAAGTTGATTTAAAATTTTGCAATTATTGTGTTATGGTCAAATATCATACACAAACCTTGGATATTTAAACTCATCGCTTTGAGGAGTTACTTGAGTGTCATGATAAATCTTAATTTTGCTCGTTCAAATATTCTTTGGCATTAATTTGTACTTATAAATAGATTTCACTTCTGAAAATGACACTCTCTTTGATATTGAAGCTCATTAACTATTCATTCATTTTTAAAGTCAAATTAAATTTCATGTCTTCTTTCAATCATTAATTACATATTCATTAAAAATGTTGTATATTTACTAAAAATTTTGTATTGAAGTTGACCATCTTTGTATAAAAATACAATCATCTAAAATCAAATTCATATCAAGATGGCGAAGACGTTCATTATATGAATTGCATGAAGAATAGTACAATCCAAATTTTTCAATCATCTTCAATAGTGAAGCAACCACTACAAAGTCAAATTAAAAAATTAAAAAATTATCTTCTATTTTTATTATTTACAAGGTTATTGAATAATTTCTCTAATTTATTCAATAATCTTGTACATAAGCTTTTGAAAATGGACTTGGCTTACAGATATAGAGCAATTCCATACCTCAGCCATTAGATCCATTAACTCTCATCTATCCTGAACACATGCACGCGTCAAATTCCACTAGACTTTCCATTGTCACAATTTCTTGATTCCCTTGTCTTCAATCGAGGCGTTCACCGCAGTTTCAGTATTAAGTGGTTTTTTCCTTCCTCATCTACAACACCATAGCCACAACCATCGAAGACTAGTTAGAACAAAAAGAATTTCAAATGAGACATGAATATTGAAAGTTTCAAAACATCACATTAGATTTTCTTTTGAAATCACATGCGTTAGGTATTCGTTTTGAGTTTAACTAGCGAACAACAAAGTACAAACCTTCCGCGCTAATTTCTCCGATGTCTATTTGCGGAGAATATACGGCTTGATGACATCCCACTTTCAAATAGCTCAGCTATTTGAAAGTGGGATGACAGACAAAAAAGGCTTGACAGACAAATTGGAGGAAAGAGATATATACCTTTCTCAGCAATTCCTTGTGATACCGATAACCCTGCAATTTACATTAGAGAGAGTAGAAACCAAAAGTTAGTGATGGCCGTCGAGCGATCATTCACCCAACCCTCCACAACTTCAGCTCAATAACGTGAAGCTAACAAAACACAGCGTGCTTATCATAGAGCACATTGACACGACCACCGGCGGTCTCCTGTAGTACATCAGTGCGTACTTTACCTACTTCCGGAGAAACCTGTATGTAAAGTCAAACACTCTTCTGTCTGCACTCTCATCGTTTTAAAGGTAGTTGGAAAAAGAATTAACCGGAAGAAAGCTCAAACATCGCTCCAGATTGTAATTGAACTATCATTATACTTGACCTTGGGACTTTCGGCGTCTCTCCGTGTTGACTAGATTCACGTGGTAATCAACCTTGCAATCAGCTCAGAATTCCAGAAAATGAAGAACTAACCAAATGACAACAACTCTGATCTTGGTCAAGACCGAATTGAAAAGTTGGGTCTATTGTCAACTAGGAATAGCAGATGCCATGACCACTTAAGGGTCAGGTTCAGGGAATGTAGAATGACGAGCAATTAATCACATTGGGGCGGCTGGCTTCCTTCTCTTCATCGACCTGAATAGCAGTCAAGCATGTGACCATCCAGCGTATGATCTTGCAAGGTATCTGTGACATACCTTGTCTGTACCATAAAGCCAGTCACAGTACGTGAAGACGGAGGCGAAGTTACTCTGGGTTTTAGCACCGATGTAGTGGTGGTAGTCATGATATTCAGCTCCTCCATACAAAGGAATCAGCTTAGTCAAGGAGAACGGAAAGTCGTAACTGCAATCAGGAAAACCTCGCACATTGAGAAAGAGGCAAGACATTTGTCGCCAACGTTACGCGCCAAAGCCATCCAAACAAACAAGAGAAGTCAAGAGAAGCAAACGTGAACTAAGAGATTGCAGGACATGAACGGCATTATCAGGAGACGTGTTCTGTGAGATGCTTGTCATCCTAAGAGGCTTTGAACCTGGACACACATTCTTCGAGTACATTACAATCACTTGAGAACATACCCGCTGTGTATATCGGTAGCTTCGAGTTGCCGTAAAGCTATCCAAAAGTAGAGAGTGATTACGTGACACGGACAAATAGCTGGACCCAGAAATGTGGGAATGCCAAGTAAGAGCATTTCCGCGACGTGCGCATACGCAAATCCGTAACTCAGTGGAGCAGCAAATTCATGGTGAACACGATGAATGTTGTTATAGCCCCATTCCGAGTGAAGCCATCTGTGAATCCAATAGTTCGTATAATCCTCGACGATGAAGTAGGTGACCAGCTGCAGGATAGCAGTTTGAAGAGAGGGAAGTGGTATGCCCGCACTTAAACCCAACATCTGCTCTCATTGGGACAAAGTCAACATCTGCTCTCAAAATTAGGACCATATTGAACCATTATGACTATCAACTGTTGTATTAATCACAGCAATTACTGGGCGAAGGTTGGAATCCGACATTGACTCTGATGAGATCCTACGAAGATTAAGATGAACCAGCTGTATGAATCTCCACCTCCAAATCTGGGGACTACCGTTAAAACTGGAAGTTGGTAAAATAACGTAAATTTCCCGATCCAATGGAGAGGGAGAGAGGAAGTCCGACCTTGAAGACGGAATACGAAAAGACAACCAATGGCAACATGACGAAGAAAAAAAGCTTCATCGTGTCTTTATAGCATTTGAAGGCTGCCGACTTAGTATTGTGCACGCCCGGTTGAATCCTGTATTTCTCGAAACATTTAATTTCATACACGTCCAAGAAGAATGAAGGGAAAGGAGCCACAGTGAAAATGATCAGAAGGAAGACAAAGTTGACGAGGTACAGATGAAAATCGCTGACATCCGCGGTCCATTCGAACCACTTCAGCTCCATGGGGCCGAGCGAGCGGTTCAGTGCGGCCTCGGCATGGGCTACACTCTCGAACTCGATCATGTTCTTCCCCTTTCTAAAACCCAAAAATGATACGGAATTCTCTTCTTTCCTTTCTTCCTTCCGTCCGTCCCCCCAATTCCCGCCCAATTCAAGTCTGCAAGACCATCCTTCGAGCTCAAACACCCGAAGGCAAGATCGACACATTCCTTTATAGGCGAATTCGCGTCTCTCAGCCCGCAATCCATCCTGTCCTTCGTCCTTCCGCGAATCATGATTTCAATCCCACCGACCTAGCGATAGCTGGGCAAAAGTGACACAATGTGGCCAGGAAGCGCGATGATCTATCACCACGAGCATCTTCTCGGGTCCCGAACCAAATCGCCGCGGCCCTCATGCGCACGGGGTGTCCGTGCTCGCGAGAGGGAATGCAGCGCAAAATGTCGAGCGAGACTCAGAAGTACCATATTGCCACTTCCTTCGATGAGTGCAGCGCGTGACGTGTGGCCTCTGAGGCCGACGATACCGGACGGCCCGATCGACGCCTTTCCATTCTTCACTTCGGTGCCTCCATCCGTCCGTCCGGCCGTCCGTCGGCCATGCTGTCCTTATCGTTATGTATGTACACCTTAATTCACAGAATCAAATAATAAAATAACCATACCTCCTAAGGATCTACGTGAAATCTTCCTTTGAACTGCCACAAAAAAGTCGCCAACAAAAAAAAAAACATTCCACGGTACAGCTTAGCATGTTCTCCGTTACTTATATGAACAAGACCTATGTTATTCACCTCCGAAGAATCTACGTGAAATTGTGTAGAACAATGATTCAAACCTTCAAGTTCAAACCTTGCTTTCCCCTGCTTCGTAGAATGTTTTTTTCGGGCACTTTGTGGCTCTTTCTTTGAAGTGCCACGAAAAGTCGCAAAAAATATATTCTTAGGTACAGCTTTAGCATGATCTCCGTTACTTGTATGAATAAGACCTATGTTATATAGTACATAAGTTTGATCATAAGGACGAGAAACCCCCAAGCAATAGGAACTAGCAAGAGTGCTTCTTACTGTGTTAACAGAAACAATTTTCCAATTGTTTCTGTTAGCTGTGGTTGTGTGCAACTACTGGGATCAGAAAAGAGAGTCTAATGATTAAAAATCACTAGACTCTCTTTTAGACCATGATAGATGATCCATCGCACTTTTGAAACTTTATCTGCCATGGATCATCTATCATGGCAAGACCCTTTTGCCCTTTTGGAAACCATCTCAATAATGTGGTTGATGCAAATAATAATTTCGTCGCAAAAGGAGCATGACGTTGCTTGTGTGCAAGCTTATTGAACGTGAAAGTAGATCACATCTTTAATGATATGACGTGTGAGGCGCTGCAACATTGAAAATGCTATTCACTCCCTTTTAGCTTACTAAGTGGCTCTGCTAAACATAACCTCAAAGTTCCAATATGTTCACTGTTGATTATTCTTCCATTCGAATTTATTAGAAAAGTAAATTTTTGTGCTACTTCAAATGATGTCATGCAGAATAAAACATAGAATGTTAATATTATGTAGATTCGGAAGAATTACAACGTAATTTTTACAACGCGATATTACACCGTTAGATTATAGCTGAAATCGCTTTGTATTCCTCAATAGTATGTTTACTTGCGAATAATATAATCAAGAGCATGTAAATACTTCATATTTATCTTCATATATATAAAAGAAAGATAATTATTAATAAAGATAATTATTGAACTAATTCATTTAATAAATAATGCTATATATAATGAAGCATTTATGTTAGTAGATGCAAGATTCATTGCTCATATTCTTTCTTTCAATCATTTTAATTTTTTAAAATTTAGTAATTTGACATCTATATGAGTTATTTATTTAGTTGATCTAAATCTAATTTAATTTCTTCTAATCAAAGACATGTCAATTTATTTGAAAATAAAAAATTCTATTTATTTTACATTATGACGCAATCATCTATGGCAATTTTGTACTGAATGATATAATTTTGTTCTTTTATAAATATTGACTATGTATTTAAAATTATATAGTTCTCAATTGTTTTACATTTTCATCAAATAAATAAAAAGATTTCCTAGATCCTTTTCTGGCTTGAATTTTGATTTCACATTATTCAGATTAATTAGAAATAATTGTACATAGGGTTCTATTTCAAATATTTTTTTGAAATATTTTGGGTGGATCATGTATGTATCGAATTATAGTGCATGTTGAACAAAAATTCTTACTTTCAACACTACACATGAATTCATATTCCAATTATTGAAGTCTTATAATGTAAAATAGAATTTTATAGATATATAAATAAAACGTGGTCTATATTCACATTGCATCCATCAAAGATTTTCAGAGGAAAAATCTGAAATTAATCTATAATTAACGAGTCAATCTGGCAAGATGTGAAATCATCAACATATTTCAATTTCGTCATTTTTCCAAATCTTACCAAATTTATTTGACATGTTAAAATTTGACACAATAACTCGATTAGGATATAATAAATTGGAGGTATTGTCTTACCATCAAGTTTTAACTAACAAAGGTAACATGAAAGGATCAAAGTATGATTCTTTGCTAGTCTTACTTCAAATATCAACGCAAACTCATGTGCTGTTTTAATTTAAAAGTTAGATTATCCGCCATCCGTTAGATTATCCGCCATAATAAGAACGATTATGTGGGCGTTTACACCTCTTCTTGGCTTATCTAGATTTAGGATTATGCCAGTTCTGAGAATGATAGAACAACGAAGTCCTGTTGGAGAATGACCACCAACGATTGATGCAAGCTCAAGCTTTCAAGTAGAAGAGGAAGAAAAGCAGTAATCTGTCCTGAAGGATTCTGGTGCGGAGTGCATGACTTCGATTTGTCACTCAGTCAGCACAACATCCAGGAGATTTTTTCATTTCTCTATCTGACACCTCAAGCAAGAGTCAAGGCTGTAATGGCGATCCACATCAAGTCATCGTGTGTTGGACTTCGAATTGAAGTGCAACACACGATGATCCTCATCCTTGTGCTTGGCTTTGGATGCGATCCCGTAAATAACTAACCGGCCGTGACAGTGTTGGAAGTAAAGGATCAGCAGCTAGCAAGAGTGATCCCTACAAGCTAATAGGTCTGAATCACCTCCGACAGGGGAGATCAAGCTGATCACTCGCAGGCACAATCCCTTGTACACTAGGAATCCAACACTGGTACACAATCCCTTTCGATTCATTTCTCTTATTTGCTCCCTTCTAGTAATCTTACTGGTAGAGTTCTTTTTGAGATTGGATCGATGTCTCCGCATCCCATTGAACTCTAGATGTGTGATTTTAAAAAGCTTCTTACAATCTCGTACATTCGGTGCTGCGTTCTGACAGCGTTTCAAGCTGAGGTTTCGTCGAGCAGGTTTGGACAAATTCCTGTCGTTATCATTGACAGACACTGGTTTGAAATTCAACCGTAGATATTCAGGTGTACCAATTTCTCCTCCGTCCAAATCAGACACATGAAGCGAGAGTGTATCGTTCACGATACTCTCAAGCTTCAGATGATTCACGAATTTTTTTCTCGTGAGTCATCTGAAGCTTCTGCCGACGAGCTTTCTGCCACAAAGCAATTACAAACGCCCAGGCGCATGAGCTCTGACCTTGACGACCAACGTTCTCAACGGTCACCTTCACCATTCACATGCGAAGGGTAAAGGTGATATCTGACCTTGTCCGATGGAGGCCTACGACGAATCGTTCTACAGGTAATGATTTTTTAATGATGTATAAATGTTAAAGAGCATTTTGTGAAAAAAATTACAGTTTACAGCTCATGATCATAGATTCTAGATCTTGTTCGTTGTTTTTTACAAACCTTGAAAGTCATATGTAAAGTAAATAAATAAACAGGATTATGTGGCGGAATTCAAATGTACGATTTTCAGAGTGTCGATGCAAAATCTTTCACATGGAGTTCACAATGGTTTCATCACCTCTCTGGAATGAGAAATTTTTCTTGCGTTGAGATATGTTCAACCTTGACATTAACTTGTAGAGAACAATTTGGTAGATAAATTGCCTAAGGTTCTAACTCCTAACCATTCATACTTCAGTATCATTTTCTTGTCTAGCATGTGTGAAATGTATAATAAGGAGCAGATGTTTCTGAGAAAATTGTTCGTGAAGAGGACAAGCTTAAGTTCCGTGAGGTTTGGAGGGTAAGGTTGTTTTCTAGCTCACGTCGACTTCAGTACACTTCGGTCAAAGAGGTCAGTGTCCACCTGACATTAACTGATACACTCACATCGACTTTAGACCTTGCCGGAAGCAAGTTCAATATTGACCCAATTACACTGTCAGGTGCATGCGCTCAATGACACAAAATTCTTGGACTTGCTGAAAGCATTACTGAGTTTGAGCGATGAACTTCGCAATTTTGTGAGTCCCTTACGAGATCTTGATCTTTGAAGAGATGAAGACAGCCAAGTATGTTCCGCTAAATGAAGCCAAAACCTACCATAACTCCCATGGCAGGAGCAGTTGATTCCTTGGGACTGTAATCTCTTCATTAGTTATTCTTGTGTTCTAACCAAGTAAAGTGGCACCTTACCAATCCAGGACAGATAATGTACAAAAGGTCATTGAGCTCCTCAAAAGACACTCGGGTTGAATTCTATGACTGGGCCCATGTTACATAAATGAAACTGTGTGATTGCATGTGATCGCACTTATCTGAGATCCAGGCTTTATGCCCTCCGACATAGGGTATCTGGACACACTTTCTTTCAGGAGGTTGCAGAGGTTTAGAAAAAAGTGTTGTGATAGGCTAGACGTTTGCCAGGCCACTAATACTTGGAAGTTTGATGCCCGAATTACAGACAGTTTTACGTCGATCGACAATGTCTGTCGTCGATCTTCTCGATTCATTCCACGGCAGGCCAAGGTGTTTGGCAATGATTCACAGTGCAGGAAACTGGTCCAGCTGTCAGTCGGTCCCACGAAGTCCTGCGGGCGGGTTTCACTTTGGCTTGAGCTGAATAAAGTGCATCCGATCCATTCTATCGAGAGTCAATCAGGTTCCAGCTCAAAAGTACGAGCCCATTCTCACTCAATCAATTCCAGGACAGGACGGCGATGGAGTCCAGGTAAGGCGATGGAAGGCGATGGGCTAGCAGGCCCAGTACGAGGCGAGGTAAGGCGAGGCGGCGATGGGAGGTTTGCCTTTCCACCCCAAAACGAGACAGCACCTGACTTCGGCCCGACTGTGACCGTCGCAGGCGTAGAGGCCGAGCCAGGCAGGAGCGTCGCGGAGGAACTTCAAGGGACGCGCTTGGTGGCCCGCTCGGCTCGTGCGCCGGCGCCACTCATCGATCGCCTCGAGCCTTTCGACGCGGGCGGGGCCTTCGCACGACACGATGTTCTCGATCTCTTGGGCGAAGGTGGAACTGCTCGACCTTCAGTCGCCGGTGGCTGGATCGCGGCTTGACGGCGTCCGACGAGTCGAAGATGGCCGAGTGGTATTGCAGAGCCTCCGTGAACCGGCCCAGGACGTTAGGCGCGACTCTCGTTCACGACGCAAGGCAGCTGCAGCACGCTGTTCATGGACAGAGCCTCGCCGTCGCGAAGCTCCACCTGCCAGCGTCGCGGGTTTTCCTGCGACTCCGTCACTACGCGGAACCCGAACGGCACGCCGTGCTGCGCGGCGCAGCAGCCATTTCCCGACCTACCTCGTCTAGCAGGCGGCTATCAGCGGCCGGACGCAATGCGCAGCGAGTTCGGACGGCCGCATGGTCTCGTCGACATGAGCGTCGTATGAGCGACGGCCACTCAAGCCGGTGGCTCATGCTGAGGTCGACGACGTGCAGAGCGGCCTCGCCGTCGAAGACTTCGAGAATGGCGCAGTTGGCAGCGTAGTGACCGAACGCCACGTCAGCAGCGGCCGTGTACATCAACCACGTATCGACATACCTTCGTCGGCGGCGAGGCGAGGCGGCAGGCCCTCGACGAAGCACGACGTCACACGCTGCATGGAGTCGGCGTAGAGAGACGCCAGGTCTCGCCGCAGTGAAACGCAGTGACCGGCGACGGACTCGAATGACGGCGACGGCCACGAAGAGCTCGACAACGTGGCTGCCGAGGTCGTGTCTACGAGGGGGATATGGTTCCTGTGATTCTTCACTCGATCCGAGGAATTTTCCCGCGGGCTGTATGATTTGGAAACTGCAGCAGCCTCACGGGAGTAGAATCCGAGTGCAATTTCCCAACGAGCGTTCTCTGGCTGCTGCTGCTGCTCAATCACCACTGCCCTTCGGAGGACGATCATCGCAGGAAGAGGCTGCATCTACCGAAGAGGGGAATAGATCTTTTATGTCCATGATTGCAGTCGATGACTCGTGATCGAGCCTTCATCTGATCCGTAAATCCAAGACTCCATCCGGAGCAATTCCTGAATTCCGGATGCACTCTGAAACCCCCTCGAGTCAAACTCTGTGCATACTGGCTTCTTTTCCATAACATGGCCTCGGTCTCGCCTGTGGACGCCAGACATGCGCTTTGCTTGCAATTGACTCTGCTCTCAGCTCCCTCGCCCGCTGCGCCGCAGCAGCTGCTGCTGATGTCGATGGTCAGGTAAAACGAGCCGCCGCGGCTGTGCATGCTGCTGCAGCCGTCTGCTCGGGCCGGACATGCTGTCGGAGAGGAGGAGATATCCACGCTCTCAGATATAGCAGATTCGAATTCATTTAGATCGAGAACCGCAGGCTGCTGGTGGGACTTGCTGAAGCAGCAGTCACTGGTTGAAGTAAATGATGGAAGCAGGTTTTCGTGAGCCATGACTGTCGAGCTTGGCAATTGACTCTCTCGCGAGACAGGCCGATCTTCATGTTCAATCATAGTCGGGCCTTGTCAACTTGGACCTCATGCCATTCATTATCAGGCTCAGTGGACGGGCACCTGTCGAGGCCCCTACATTGACAAGACTTCTTTGGAAGTTCAGTGAGTTTACGCATGTCCGTCGGGGTGACGGGGGGTGGGGAGTTTACGCATGGGGTTCGTTCGCTTTGAAGAATGCAGAAGAAGGAGACGACCTGGATTCGGCATAAATGTGACCTCGAAGAAGTTGAGCAATGTTGATGTAAAAATATCCATGTGCGTGATCATCTGGAGAATCACGACGTGGAATTTCATGATGAAGCCTCGAGAGGGTTGGCCTCGACTAATGGCATCAGATGCAAGCAAGGGTATGGAATGAAACTTGGAAAATGCTCGCAATTTCGAAGAGTGGCCTCGAAGTGGCTGAAGAATCTCGGGTCCTGAGTCCCATGTCCCTCGTTCATTCTTGCCGGAGTGTTATTCACACTAGCTCTGCTGATCACTGCTTGACAGTAAACCGGACGAAACTGCTTAACAAGGTCCTCGCTGATGAAAGTAAATCTCGAGTTTTGAGAGAAGCAATTTTCTCCGTCATTATCAGAGGCCTTGGTGTGTCTGTCTTTACCTCTTGAGCTTGCGTGGGCATGGGGCGGACGGCTTTTCTCCTTCTGCTTCCGGTACAAACGTCAATGTTGTAGGCTGGTTATCGAGTAGGATAGGTAGGCCCTCTCAAGCTTTCCCCCCCACCACCTAAGAATCGTAGGTGCGAGTTTCGTGGAATTGCTGCGCCGAACCATATATATACAGAAACAAAAAAAAATTGACTCTTTATACTAAACCCTCATTGTTCAACATTAGTGTTCCATTGCACCCATATTCACAGAATTACATCTCCCATAGAGATTTTAATATAACATATTATGCAAATAACTTATATTTTTTATATGCATAATTTGTGATATACTTGTAAATAATTTTTGTTTCAAGGGGATTTTGTAGATGGTAAAATCATCATCACGAATATATAATTTTAGATAACATTTTGAAATAGAATAATCAATACTCAAAATAACTTAAATAAAAAATTTTAAACTGTTGATTTGTTATAGTCATGATTTGAAATATATTTTATAAATAGTGAATTCACTTTTTAAATCAAATTATAATCATACATAATAACTAATAACTTTATATCTCAATCAGGTCTTGTGCACTGCAATCGTTTTGTTGAGTATTTTACCAATATGCTATCAATTCTTTTAGTGAATACATTTACCTTGGGATGATACAAAGTAGTATTGCGATGCTTGGTCCGATACAAGGTGGTCAGTTCTTCCACCATCTGATTCAAAAAATGTTTTCCCCTATCACTCACAAGTTCTAAATGATTTTTCTTCCGAACCTTGCAAAAAACTATCTTGAATAGACAGGTTCTTGTATTCTTGAATCACTTCCCTAGTTTCTTGTAGCTTCCACAGTAAGGTAGACAAATAAATGTCCTTGACTTCTAGTCTGGGTCATGCTTCTATAATAGCATGAGGTTATATCTTTTCCTTGGGTTAGAAATTTCCATCAAACCAAAGATCTAACTTGTATATCTTTGGTAAAATTGTTCCCCAGCAGCGGCGCTAAAAAAAACTGGTCCACACTATGTCAAGAACTTGTTTTAAAGTATCAACACCAATAACACTCTATCTGATGGTAACTACTTCCTCGCGCAACCGGATTCATTAGAAGTGTACTCTTGAGGAAAAAAAATACTGAAAACATGTTATACTAGAACTTACATGTGATATATTTAATTCCGTTACCGGAAGTTCTACTCAAGAAATGCCAGTTTTACTTTTACCTTCACTCCTTTCAACTCTTAATGGGGTCACATCTTGTTGTTACCAAAGTGTGTCATGTGTATGCTACCTTCCACCTAGTGCTACTTACCAATTCATGCACCAAGTACCACTCTCAAGTCTTGCAGATACACTATAAGTAAAGTCTGTCATGTAGTTTTTGGTATTGCGTCGAGCCTATGGTTTCAGGTCGGAGACGGCTTGAAGAACGTTAGTTCTTCGAGTCGAGCCTAGCGCGTTGGGGTAGTGCCCGTGAGCTTCAAACCTTGAGTCTCCGAGTGTGGAGTGGGTTGGGCTTGACTATGTTTGTGACGGTGACAGTTTTGCCAGTAGGGTAAACGACGGACGGAAATTCTAGTGGGGAATCTCCCGTTTATTTCACTCGAAGAACTGCTTGGATTGTGACATTTGAGTGTGTACTCTCTCGCGCCTTATATGTGTGTATGTGTGCGTATGTGTATGTGAGTAGCATGTCAGCGATGTAGGATGTATGACGATACGTATTCGCACAACAAGTCCGAGATTGTACAAAAATACTCTATAGAAGTTGATCCCTAGATTACTACATCCCAGCACACGAGGAAAGAACCACAAACTTACTTCTCATCTACAATGAAGGAAAAAATGGGACACTACCTCTCAGCTCTAAGCACACAATCTCCCGAGGCCACTTCGCCTCTAAACTCTGAAACACAAATCTATAGAGCATACTAAATAGCCGATATACTCTGAAAGTCCAAGGCAAAAGCGCCCCTTACCACTCTTTAAGGATCGAAGAGGATTTTCACCAAAAATAGTTACCTGATACTCCCCAACATTCCATGTACACTTGTAATAGCGACTTGACTCATCGCTTGATCCTTGGTGATGTTCAACAATCATACACTCACATCTTTAACGAGTATAGAATTTGAAACAACATTCTGGAAAAGATTTATCAATGATAAATTGATCACTAGATAACTTGGATAAAAAATATAATCTACTTGTATGCTTTTGGATTATTAAATAATACTTTTCAGATTCCAAATAAAAATTCCCATGTAGACATCTATCCAACTTTTTGTATAGATTATAAATATATATCACGATCAAATTTTAATGTAATCTAAAAAAAATATGTCTTTGAGATTTTATTGTTATATATTATAAATTTTAAATTGATATTGCAATTGTAAATCATAAATAAGATTAATTGAGTTTTTTTTTAATTTTTTATAATCTGAATTTCTTGATATATATGTTGTAATTGGACATTTTTTATTTCATATATATATTAATTTAAATTTTACATTGTATTACAAAAATCATTGTAATGATAAAGGTGAAAGGTGTCACAAAATTATTTTTGAAAATAAAGATTATTGGTGTTATAAGTCTGCATATGCACCACAAATCACAGAGAACTCAGACGTAATATAGAGTAATTATTCAGATAAAGTTAAATTATTATATAAATATTTGATATCTATTTAAACCAGAAAATTCAAATACAAATTTCAAATAATACCTTCAATAATATAATTTTGAATTCATGGTTCATGAGGAACTAAAGATGATAGGATTCATCTAAAAGATCTGCATAATGCCAAAGCAAAGATGACAACAACAACGTATATGTTTCATAAAAACAATTAATAATGTTTACAGATTTAGATTAATACACATCCTTACTTTGTGCATCTACATCAACCATATAAATAAACATTTTTATTTCAAAATTTTATGTTGATTTTTTAATGTAAATGATAGTTGGGATTGATAATTTATTATTTTCAAGATAAAAATCTTGCGTTAAATAGCAAATTTTCAACAAACAAATATGATGTAAGTTTTGATTTAATTGTATCTGAAATTGTTGTTTTTTAAATGACACTATGTAGTTAAAAATAATTTATTTACTATGGTTGTTAATATATTTATGTATGTTTTACATTTATTTTTATTTTGCTAATAATCAACAATATCTTATGTTCTTTTATTATGCAATTTCTAATTTTCACTCTAATTATATTTGATAGTCAACAAATGTGATTGTACATTACTTAAAAAACTTTCAACAAAAGAAAATAATAGATGTGATAATGAATTTTTTGCAAAAATTTTAAACTGTAACATTGAATAATAAGTCTAATCAACAACCAAATTGTTTTATGATTCATTGTACTATTCAAAAATTGCATTGAAATACGTATTTTCAAAAATTCTAATCATTTTTGTACATTTCATATTCAAAAATAATTTTAAGATCATGTACATTTTAAATATTAATTTTATGTGCAGATATATATATATATATAATATCAATATATATACCCTACATTGATTATTGTTACTCTTAGAAAACTATATAGATTTTTTTTATTATTATTTACATATTGAAATCTAAAACACGTTTTTTATGTTTGCAGAACATGGAAGTAAAATTTGATACAATAAGAAAAAACCCAAACATTTATATTGGAAATTTTTTTTGCCTCAACAATAACAAAATCCTTGAGTGAATAACAAAATCACAATCAGATCCCACTAGCCTTTCACATTCACAACTCAATCGAGTCCAACCCACTCACTTGTTGGAAAATCCGGGTTGAGGCTTATGAGACACCAAGTTATTCAACTTAAAATCTCTTGAGTAAGGCTCAATTCAAAAAATTGAACGTTTTCCAAGTTTCTCTGACTATATATTCTCGGACTAGAGTGATCTTGTAAGCATTAAACTCCCCACCCTTTGGCGTTTTAGTCCAGGTGGGGCGTCTAAGCAAACAAGGCTAATAACGAACATTTTTAAACTCCACTTCACACACGACATCAATCGATTCAATCTCTATAACACCGCGTCGATGCTTCACAGAACTCTTCACTCCTGAAGATTTCAGGCAACCTGAACATTCATGATACTCGTCACGACTCTTGCCTTCAATCCAACCTTGAACTTCATTGTAGAACCGTCTGCATACTTTTCATCCCTCTCCCACTAAGAAGGTACTTAAACATTCCAAACAAACTCGTAAACCATCTACTGTCGCCACTATCCCTCGGCTCTCAGATCTTCACTGTTCTCTTTTCGACACTCCGTGAGAGGAACAAACAAACTAAACAAGACGAGGACCTCACCACTGACGCACCCGGCTATATCCCGCCAACACCCCTGGCCACCAACTTGTCAAGCCAACCCTAACCTGATTTGCAAAATCCGCAAAATTTGAAATGAAGCCCAGCGCTTGACACCACGATCCACATCCATATCCACAACCAATGCCATTGTATTCCAAGCCCAATTGGTATTTTCAACGCAAGACCTTATCTTCTATCATTCCTAAGGCCATCGCCATTTTCACCAACTTCTATATCATCCCTCTCATCCCGACTAATTTCCCTCCACCCAGTTCCCACTTCTGTCCAACCCCCGCCAGCACGCCACCTATACTCTCCTCGCAGTTGGTTTTTGACTTCGCCACCGAACTCAAGAATTGTTCTTCTACGTAACCGTCTCCGTCACTTAGTCGTCTTAACATACATGACGTATAAAGTATCTAAACTCTTACTAACAGTATCTAATTATTATTATTTTCTCTTTGAATTTTCTACTCTCTTCTACTCTCCATATCTAATACTAAGTCAAAAGGTGAGCACACAATTCAGCTCACAGATCCCTTATCCTAAATTGACATTATATATAGACAACACGTGTGAACATGACACATCTAATCATGAAAAAGATGATTCAAAAAATGATAGATGGTTTAGCTCGTCGTTTGAACAAATTATAGAACATGTTTTTTTGAAACATATTCACTTTTTTTCTTTATAATATTTGTAGAAAGTTAATGAGATTGATAGTCAATTGGAGAAAAAAGATTTAACATACTTCAATGTATGAGCAGCAAAAATGAAATGAAACACGTTCAAATAAAAATTTGTATGATTTTGCATTTGTATTCATTAATTTTTCTTTTGATATATAATTCACTATGATTATAAATTAAAAAAACTTAATCATAAAAGATAATATGTTCTTTATGTCTTTATGTTCTTTAGACGTTTCCAAAGCCAAACTTTGCTGAGCTAATATGTCCAAAATCAATAACTAAATACATCATTTGAGATTATCTATTCTATGATATTTTCATGTGATTGTTCGTGTATAGTCAAACAAAAAATGTATAAATATCAATTGAATGCTTTGATATGAAAATGACACTAATGAGTATATATTATTCAACACCATGAAGCATGAAAAAAGCATTTAGAATATGAAATGTTGATATATAGGTAAGGATGTAGAGTTGTTAAAACATAAATTTTACTTGTTAGTGAGGTAAGGTGCAACACTGCAAGCGGAAGAAAATTGTGAAGATTTAGATATGAAACAATATGAACGGGATTCCATGTTAGAATTAAAATTTAGTGAGAAAAATATTTGTGTTGATAAATCAAGAGAAGCTTGAATGCAAATAGGATAAATGTCATTGAGGAGTTATAGCATAACGCAGAACATACCAACTATAATAAACAGATACTTGCATGGCTTTAAAATTCATGAGCAGTATCAACTAGCAACAAAAAAGTATACAAAAATAACAACTCACATGTTTATCAGACCAAGTAAATTTATATTAAATAGAAGTTAGGGATTGTTGACAAATATCATGGTGCAAAAAGAAGAAAAATATTCTGAAAAATTATTTGAAAAAAAAATGTGGTCGAATACATCCGAAATATTCTTTGATAAAGGATTTTAACATGCATTGTATTAGATTGTTCATGGTATAATCAAATCTATATTAGAATTTACTTTGAGATTGTTTCATTTTTTTATAACTATGATCACAACATTTAAAAATTGCAACTTTTATGTTATTGTTTGTGAAAATTTATGGTATTTGGAATTGACTCTCCAAGATATAATCGGTAATAATTATAATTATCCAAATATAATCAATGATAGTGAAACTCTACGAGATGTTATTAGTGACAATAATATTGTTTTCTATGTTATCTCAGAAGTTTGTTGGAAAAAAAACCACAATTTGGAAATAGTTGTTCAAAGATAACACTCTACTGTATGAAAAACGCAAGGATAGAAAATCATAAATTGAATTGAATAGTCTCTTTGCTTGCTACTTGATTTTTCAAGCCAAAAAATCTAAATAGAGAGTTTTGTGTTAACACAAATATGATTATTCTATTGAAATTGAAAGAAATAGAGAGAAGATTGCTCTCACAAGTGTAGCACACAAAGTAGTACAAACAATTTATTGAGTGAGATATGAGCTTCTTCCAAAGCCATTTTTTACAATACTTGGTTTCACATCTCTAATTGACTCTCAAGGTACATTTTAAATCACTTGCTAGGCACTTTAAGACATGTGGCACTCATGGCCTCCCCTAAGAATTAGCCACCATCCACTTGAACTTCAAACCTTATTATTGACTTGGCTTAGTCAATGCAAGAGAGCTGTTCCTTATCTCTTCACCTACTCATGCCACATGTTCACCATGTGGTAAATCAACTCTTTTCCTTTTATTCTCTTTTAACTTCCTACTCTAATTCAACTTCATTGTAAATACTATTTACAATGCTTTAACTACAAGCTAACTAGACTCCAACATAATCTTAAAAAATGATACAGAATAATGAATTGATCAATAATTAGATTTCTAAATATTTGATCATCACAATGATGGAGAGTTATTCTTTCATTTAAAAATAAGGACTAATTTTATTTACTTCATCAATAATTTGCACTTTATCATTCATCACTTTCTAACAAAAATCAATTTTGTACTTTTTCTCTGAATAGCTAAAATCTGAGCATTTAAGTAAGTTTCATTCTTATAATTTTTTACTCTACCAAATTAACTCAATTTTCACTTCTGATTTTTAAAGAGCAATACAATAATGGAAGAAGAACCTTATAGAGATAAGTTTTATTCATATTATATTTTTGCCAACAATCAATCACACCCTGGTTTTCAACTATCAGCAATCAAATGTTTTCTATACATTAAACTGTGAGTTTGGATTTTGCTAAAAGTTGTACGAAGTAAGTCTCAGTGGTTGGCACAAGTGGCTTACATCTTTTTTTTTGCTAGTGTTTCCCTGTTGTTGGGGATGGGTCCTTGCCAAATTTTACTGAGTATATTATATGACTCTTTGGGGTTGGACTGTTTGGCATTCTAAGTCCACTCTTTTTTATTAGCCTGGCATTGGATGTCCTGATATCGTAAGAATTGTTCTGCCATACATAAGCTACGTTCTTTTTTCCTTTGTTTTGATGGTTTCAGCCCTTTGTGTTGAACAAGGAGCATTAACTGACGGTAAGTGACAATGATAAGTTGTTGGGAAAGAACGATGTCAGAATTGATACCGCAATGAAAGTAAAAGAGAACGTCAGCCGTCATGCTACAAAAGTTGCACTTCCGGCCAATGAGAAGAATGACGAGAAGTCTCTTCTGTTGGAAAAAAAGTACACTAGAAGTACTTTGGCAAGGAATGAATCCGACATTTTATCGGAGGAGTTGATAACTCCTCCGATAAAGCGAGAAAGCAAAGTTTTTAATCTGGAGTTCAAAAACTTTACTTCCTTGGCTGCTTTGCAATCGCCTTGCTGCATGACTGATCTTTGTATATTAACTCTTTGATTGGTTTTCATTTGGGTGCATTTTCTAAACAATTGCTTAGCTTATTTTTTTTCTATCTCTTGAAGTTTGTACCTTTGAATTTTATAAAATTTCTCCATCTTGGCATATATTACTGCCATCAGGAACTCGTCAATGGCAATGGTATGTCGCGAATTCTAAGCCACAGTTTGGTATTTTTCTTAACCAGCTGGTTGAACAGTTTGAAGTGGTTGCAATGAAATAATGTCTCACTTGGTTTTCTTCCCCCTTTTGCAGTTGTGCTTGTTCATGGCCTCGTCTTATGGAGCTCAAGCTATTTTTCTATCACCTTTCTATGTTTGGCCCGTTCCAAAAAATTGCTCAGTTAGGGTGGAGCTGGTGTTTGATATATCTGGCTATCGGGTTGGCAACATTACCAAACATAAACACGACGGAATGACACTTCTTTCGTACAAATCCCGAATAGAAGTGGAAGCGCGTGAGAACGGTCAAAGAAGAACTGCCAAAAGTTTTCTTCTCAAACACCTAGAAGACAAGAGGAGGGGTCCCTGATATAATTGCAATATAAAGTAGAGAGAGAGAGAGAGCCGGAAACGATTTTCTCCATCATCTTTCTCAAGCTTTAACTTAGAAAGTCTCTCTCGAGGTGGCAACTTGACGCTGAGTGATTGGTCCTTCAGTCTCAAGCAAGAGGTGTCCAAGTATATTCACATACACTCCTCACATAGCGCCTAAATCTCCTGGACAGCAGAAAGGCGCAATACATGGTAATTGGTACTTGAAGATAAGGCCTACAATTGATCATCAATGTATAAACACATGCATAGCAGTGTAGTACCGAGAGACTACAGCGCATCTATTAGAAATAAACTGCCAGATGAAATGGAGCTTTCAAGAGTAGTCCCTTGTATCCCTCTACTGCTAGACCACTGCAATTTTAAGTATTATCTCTATTTCACCTGATTTTGATCTTGAGATAGTAATGGACATTAATTTCCTCGGAATAGGTATATTCGAGCTCAAACAAAGAGGTTGTGCCTAACTCCAAATTTGAGACATCAACTCTTCTTTCTTAGTAATACATAGGGCATAAGTGAGAACGAAACTAGTGAGGACGTTCTAAAGCCAGTCATTTATTCTGTTGTGAGACCTTGATAGAAAGTAAAATGTATATACTTATTTCCTTTATGGTTACCACTGAGACTCATGTAGTTTAGGGTTTCCAATATGTATGTTTTGTCTCAAATTTGAATCTGAAAATTGTGTATACTGATTCTTCGTAAGGAAGATAATCAGGTTATACGCCTGTTACACAGTTGAAATGTTACGGTGATGGAAACAATTTCACTACTTTCAAGTTAGAGCTTATTTCAAGGTTCAGACTGTTCCGATGACCTAATCAACAATTCTCAATTTATCTGAGTTAGATTGTGAACAAGATCTGGCAAATGCAAGGTAATCCACATGACTCATTGTAGTGAGAGACATAACATCTGGAAGTGATCCATATACTTCACATCTATGCACTTAACATCAAAACATTATTAGTAGGTAAAGCTCGAAAATAAATATTATGGTAGAGAATGAAGATCGGAAACTTATCTAATATGATTTTTTCAAATTACTCAAAACGTATCAACTGAGCTCACCTTGCCTTCACAAACACGTGTCGAACCAAAGCACAGATAATCACCATCGACAACATTCTTTGTAGATCACGATGGTTGCAGACGATAAAACTCACTAAATTTTGAAATGTTGGGTAAGGACAGGACTGCGTGTCGTGAAGCATGCAATGGTAGTGTCAAAACGGCTTCATTTCCAAGTACCGCATGATAGGTCATCTCCAGACCATATCTGCTTATGGTGTCTAAATTGATGAACTCGCCGAATTTTCATCGCACTATTTCTTTCTCAACCGAGTCGGTTGTGAGGTTTTCTTCTGACAATATAAGTCCTTCTTCAGCCCAATCACTTTGTATCTTTCTATCCAAAAGTCGCAAAAGTTCCGCCAGACCTGTTTTTGTTCGTACGGAGGTACTCACACAAGAGACACCTTCACGAGCCCATTCTAAATCCAGCAGCTCAGCTCCGTCACTTAAGGTTTCAATATCAGTATGTTCCATCTTCAGTGGATGAGTAACGAGGCTGTCTTCCGCCATATCCAACCCATCCGCTTCAGTAGACAAAACTTCACTGAGGGTATTTTTCACTGCTCCTTCGGGAAGGTCCTCTGATTGAGTAATCTCGAACTCCTTTCCTGATAAATCGCTCTGCAAGCAAACTCCGATTAGAAAGTTCCTGTCCTTCTACTTCAAACATCATAATAACCATTCAAGTTATAGGGAGAGATGAATACTCCTAAACAAAAGTATTTACCAGCTTCGATTGTTGTACCTTATCTTACTATTGTACTAATCAATCCCCCAAATGAGAAGGTCAGGAAGGAAGAATAAGATGTTGCACATACTGTATTTATGCCACGGGGTTTCATCTCCTAGGGTTCGTACCTTATTCCAGACTTCGATCATGCAATTTTCCATTTTATGTCTCGACACTCCTATCTGTTGAAGGACCTCCAACACTGTCTCTCGTTGCTCACTAGCGTTTGCGGCACTGCTATCAATTACATGCTGTACACATGTGTAAGAACAACAAGACACGTCAGTTAGAAGGCTTGCCAAATGAAGGCTTGAAGTCTCCAGCAGCTAAGAAATCTTGACACCACAGAGACAACATTCGGGCTTTGTACATAACTTGATAACAACGACCTTCAACAAGGAGAACTGACCAGAAGATAATCTGCTTCAACCACCTCATTTAGAGTTGCCTGGAATGCTTCCACTAGCTGCGTTCATGACATCACAAGGCTTAGTTCTTTCAGATATGCCGCAAAGTAGCACACTCAAATTGAAGAATATCAATCCAGCAATCTGCTAGATCACTAGAATAAGAAGTACAAGTACCTGGATTGGCAAGTCTGAGATGAAGCCTACTGTATCACTAAGTATGACTTTTTTCCTGCAAAGCAGTGTGGGATATTAAAGTGGGAACATGAAACACATGTATAATGTGCATTGTGTTGTGCATCTCATATCAAAGATCCCTTTTTCACGTTATACTACATGCAACACAAACATGCGAGTAAACCTCTTTATATAACTTGACAACTTGAAGTCATCTTGATTCAAGAAAGAAAATAAGCAGAAAAAGGGCAGGTACACGAACCCTGAAGGTAGAACAACCCTCCTAGACCGTGTATCTAAGGTTGCAAATAACCTGGAAATCACGGCACGGTTGAAGTGTCACATATAACAAATCACCACAGAATGCACAACGACTACAAGTGTAACCTCTTGACGGTCAGAAGTATTCCATCTCTCCAGTCGATACAAAGTATACAAAGAATAAACTCTGATGGCTGACTCCCACAATGGATTGCGTTGGACTGGTCTGCAGAACTCGGATTCAACAATAAGCCTCATAGTTGCATTCAAAACACGGCAGCTGAAGTGTCCGCTCGATGGTACTCTTCTAGTCCTCTACAACGTTTTTTACAACTTCCAAGATGGGCTTTCCACATCAACAATTACCAACGCCACCTGAATAAGCTATTTATGTAACCAGCGTGTGATCCTACTCTTGATAGCACTTTGCACTTGAGTTATTTGGAACGATTTAGAGAGAAGCAACTTCTCCATTTCATAAACATGTGTGTGTTGCACTATAGCCTGTGTACTTACTTGTCATCTACGTACATGTCGCTACGCGATAAGGCTGCAACAAGTGACGACTTGCCCTGCGTTCAGCAGACAAGTGTCATGTAGTGCGAAAACCCCATAAAAGACCAATGTTTCAGCCTCTACTACCACCGTCCGACAAAGAAAAAAGAAGATAGCAGGATTCGATGCTTATGTAACAAAACATACCGCATTTGTGTATCCCACGACTGCCACAACAGGAAGACTTTTCCCTTGGCCTGGTGTAATTCCCTCTCTTGTTCTGGCAGCTCGGTGTAACGTCTGAGTCCGATCAACTTCAGCTAGCAATGCCTTTAACCGAGTCTTTCTTGTCAAAATCCTGATGTAATTTTCACGTCCAAATGCAAGTAAATGAGTGTAAATCTAAAAGATTCGAGGTAAACAGCGAGTTTACATGTAATGCTGCAAATATGATATTGAGCCTTCCGATAGTGGAAATTAAGGCACTAACCGTCTACGTTGTAGCTGAATTTCTGTCTCTCCAGCACCGCCGATAGCTCCAGTTGCCCGTCTGGGTCATGAGATCATTATCAGCAAAACAGATGGACAGACGACACACGTACATCTTACAACCTTTTGCAACCAAGAGGATTACGGTCCGTTCATATTTGTCTAATGTCGCAGAAACCTTCTTGAACCTTCTTGAGTTCCTGCGGCATTCAAAAACATTAATTCATGCACTCACAAAAAAACAAGACCATGACTTGCATCAAAAGATGTCCATGGCTCAATGTTTCAAGGTATGCAACTACTCATAGACAAGAAAGATGAACCACTACAGATAATTGCAATCGCGATCTTTTCCACTTCTTATAAGCCTTCCGCCGTCGAACTTCTCTCAGGAATATAAACTTAGTAGTTGATCAACAGAAAAAGCGTCCTTGCAAAGCGGTCAATGAACAGTACTCTTCACGGGAAAAACTTGAAACGGTACTTCGTCCAAAATTTATGGAAAAACTTACCCACGAGCACTTACAACCTCGGATTCACCTCCTGCTCCAAAACCAAGTCTTGCTCCAGCTTTACCTCGAGCACGCACCAGCCGAGACCTGTAATAATTCAAGGATGCCAGCTCTACCTAAACAAACGTCACTTGGCGACTTACTCAAAAGAAAAGTTGAGGAAACGCAGAAAGTTGCCCACTAGAGTTTACAAAATTACAGATTTCCTGAAAACTCAACAATAATGAGTTGTCCAAAGTCCACTTGGGGTGTCTCCGGATGACATATTACGTTCTTTCACCTCATCAGACGACAATATGTATGCACAGGTTTCTGCCTGGATCGTGCAGGGGCTGAGAATATCTCATAAAAAATAAATTAAACCCTTTTATTAATCAAGCTCCAACAACTTAGAGAGGCTTCTGATGGTGTAGAATGCACTGGAGTGACAGCTTTGGTCCTGACGAATCTCTATGACTCGAGAAATAAAATGAACAAAACCATCAATTCGTTAGATGTGAATTATGTGACGAAAAGAAATCAGAGGATAACATACCTGAAGTTTGGCTGCTTTCGACTGTGCATGAGCTCCAAAGATTTCGATAATAAGACCAACTCGATCAAGTACAGGCTTTCCCCACGCATTCTGCAAGTAGCTAATTCTGAATGTTATGTAAGAATGTCGTAGGAGAGAATTCTTGGCCGTTTCTTCAGGACACATAAACCACTCCTCAACTTTTGCTCACGGATTTTGCGTTACCGACAGCAGGAGAAAGTAAAACTACATGGATTATACCATCATACCGAATTTCAAAATATAGAACTTTTAGTTTCATAGTGAACACTGAGACGAACCTGACAAACACCTATAGTTCTTTCACTTTAAGTAATCTCAGCACCTACACACGAGACGAAACTTGATCATTACCTCTAGGTTTCTTTGTTGCACGCCTGATAGTGGCGCATTGACAAATATAGCGTCTAGTCTACCCTGTTCAGCCACAAAGACATCGTGTGAGATAATTCGAAGAATACATAACTGCGATAGCATCTTCTTAAATGAGAAGAGTTGATTATCTCATTCGTTTCTCTTTCTCAGGCATGGGCTATAGAGGGACGGTGTGATTCATCACACACTAAACTAAAGCCCATCCAACCGGATCCGCATTTTAAATGTACGTGAATTACGATATAGTAGATGAGAGAAACTGCTCCAGTTGAGCTTATTTCAGAAATATAGAATAATAAATTGGGGTAGATTCGCCTTGAAAAGAAATTGCAGAGAGAATGTTGTGGTAAAAGATGTGCCTTGGTGGATGCCACATGAACGTGAGCAAGAACATTTTCGATGGTTCCTGGTCCAAAATATGCTCCTGTTTGCCATTTTCAGAAATCCCCACCACAACTGCCATCTTCAGTCAGCTGTAAGCACGAAAGCATAATCCGATCGTGCGAGAAGGTCCAGAAGGAGTGTACCATCGCAAAAACGAGGAGGAAAAATATTTATCTGAGCGCTGCGAACAAAGCAGATTGTGGAAGCAAGATGACATCAATCACAACGAGGGTCTTAGCAGTGAAGAAGAGGAATCAATAGAACAATTGCCTGCGTGCATTCTTTTTGGAGATTTGCGGGAGAATTTATTCGAGGGGTTTTGCACCAAAACGTACGGTGACGGCTCCCTGCGCTGCTTCTTCCCCTTGTCGACATTTCGCGGATCTTCCAATGAATCTGCAAGACGCAAAGCCTCCAGCAGTTTGGCTTTCAAGACTGGGAGTGGATGCAATCGCGGCTGCACAACTAACAAACGTGGGGGCTCATCGTCGTCGTTATTCCAGAAGGCGCCCGAGGCGCTGCTCCTAAAACCTCTAACGCACCGGCCGGCTCCAGCTGATCGCCATGGAATCGGCGCAGCCAATTCTGTGACACCAGCTCTGGGAAAGGTCGTTCCATTTTCTCTGAAGATGATTGAGGCCTCCTGAAAAGCTCCAGGTCCACCAGCTCCAGCCAGGAGCTCTGAACCGCGATCCACAAACAATCGAAGGCAGGTTCTGGAAACCCGACAGGACTTGAAGCCCATTCGCATCATTCAAATTAAACTGTCAATGTCCAAACTGCAGAATTATTCACCATGTCTCCGTCCGCCCGTCCGTCATCTACGACGCGTGTCGACAAATTCGCACTGCCGCGCTCGAAACGAGCAAAATCACTCCGTGCATGAAAGGTACGAGGCCCAATTCAGCTGCTGTGCTCTGAATTGCACCGAGTCTCAGAGCAGTACGAGTACGCTGAAGCTGGGCAGCTGCCGGTTTCTGGCTCTGTCTCTGGAACGAGTGTCTTTGATTTTCCAAGTTCCGGGCGATTCATTTCGAGCATTCCTTCGTTGTTGTGTGATTGCGCAATTGGCTTCGACTCCTGACGAATGGAAGACCAAATTGTTCGAAACTTTTTCATTTTCTTCATATTAGAAACCTTGATATGTGTGATAGATGAATGCGGGAGAAGTTGAGAACAGTTAACCTTCTGACTGTCAAAATAATAAGATAATTTACTTTACTTATGCGTGCACTTGAATAAAGTTTACGCCCAACGTATTCACACCTCGACGTGCATAATTCTCATTCATGTCATATGTGCTTTTCTGTAAAGTTTATATGATATTATTTCTTGGATGTTTGAATTTTTTTTCATGATATCAGAATACAGTTCTAACTATGATTATGCATATATTTTCTTTATCATGTATTTCAAATTTGACTGATGACTAAAAGTATATCATTAAACTAAGTAAAAGTATTCTTCTCCATAACGATTAGTTTATGTTTATGAAATGTGACGTGTTTTAGACCTATTTTATCTACAGACACAAAATTGTCCTCAAATTTACAATAGAAGTGAAGACTATTACCCTAGGTTGTTATTTGCATTATTAGTTTTTGTGAAAGAGCAATGTCTTTCGAATCAATAAAACATTGTTCTTACAAAGAGTATTCTATTTTCATTCACTACGTTATATCAACAGACAGGCAATGTTCAAACCTAGCATGTTATATCCTTCAAATAATTCTTCACCCCACAAAGAAGATCACATATGTCCTTTTTAACTGAGCTTCAGAATACAAAACTGTCGAACAATTCGAAACAAATATGTGAATGTTCTTATTTCTTGAAAAGTCACGTTTATGCAATGAATCCTTCGTCAGCTACCTTTCATGCTACCGAAGCAATTCCCTAAACTTGTCAGCCTTCGGCGTTTTATGTGTTCAAGGAACGAATTCGTGTCCTGGACATTTTCCATCGGGCTTGATCCATTCTAACTCGACCATGAAATAATATAACTATCTCTTGAATTTCAGAAGAATGTCAAGACACTGTCATGAAGCAATTTGGAGGTAAACGATGGAAATGAAGAGATCAATGCACTTTCGAGTCCGACGCCGCAAGAACAAGGCGCGGCGGCACGTTCGTAGAGGGACTGAAAGGGACCACGAACTGAAAGGGACCACGCAGGAGGGAGTTGACGTAGTCGACGATCGCACGCTGTCGAGTGCTCTCATGGATCGCTTCGCGGGTCCGACCGAGGCAGCATGCGACCAACTGCAACTGCAGGAGGTTAGTGGGCGGTCCGGGCGGGGCTCACTGCGTCGTGCGCATGGCTCACGTACCACGTACGATTTCGGGTGATTGACGTGGTGAGGTCGGGGCGCAGGATGCGAGGCTTCTGCAAAGGCTGAAGCAGGAGCTGGAGCAGCCGACCGCAACGTTGCTGGAGAGGCGCCAACTGCTGCCCATCTTCGGCCAGCTCAAGATTTTATCGAGGAAACAGCACATCCGCACGGCCATCGGCCCAGAAGGCATCCGGTCTCTGATCAGGCACTTGATCGAGTCCAAGCATCTCGCCAAGGTCGCGGCCGAGGGTGCCAATGTCATCCTCAATGTGTGCTACGAGAAATCGAATGTGAATGTGGTGCTGGAGTCCGGTGGCACGTCGACGCTGGTGCGAACTTTCTTCTTCTGTGTTCTAGACTTTACTTGAGATTGGGGAGGGAGAGGACTCATTGAACTGGTGGAGATGTGATGCTCAGTGACAAATGATCGAACATCCGATTTCGTGTAGGTGAGTTTTCTGTCTTCGGACGATGAAGAACTTCAGGCCAATGCCGCTGGCGCGCTGCAGAGCATTTGCTTCCAACCAGAAGGTCGGGTGATCGTGCGGAATCTGGGGGCGATCCCTGCGCTGGTGAAGCTTCTGGACGTTCCGTCGGTCAATGTGAGTGCGCTCATAGATTTCGTGCTTGTGGAAGGCACCAAGAGCTCTTCTTCGTAAGTTGTGTACTCCGTTTTCACGCTTCCTTCCCACCCGACAGGTCAAGGCCCGTGCCGTCGGAGCATTGCACAATATGAGCTCTGATGTGTACGCCATCCGCGTCATGCGTCGGAAAGGAGGAATCAAGTCGCTCGTTAAATTGCTGCGCTCTGAGCATTCGTCAGTTTGTGGCTCGGTCGCAGGAGCTCTACAAAATGTGTCCCGTGAAATCGCAAGCCGATTGATCATTAGGGAGAGCCAGGCATTGCCTCTCTTAGTAGGCTTACTGTCACATTCCGAAGTGCAAGCACAGGTACATGTCATAAACAACACATGATATGAACACACTTAAGCAACACTCGCAACATCGATATGGATCAAAATTTTCTGTACTCACTTGCGCTCTTACCTGGCTTTCTTTTCGTTGCCAGGTAAGTGCTGCTGGAGCATTACTCAATGTTTTGGGCCCAGAGATGAACGAGACTTGTGCCTCCCGCAATGCCATGGACAAAAAACGAAAAGCCTTTGTTCGCACTGTGACCTCCATGCTTGTGGCAAGCCTTGTTTACGACGCCTGTTTCACTTCAGGTCCTTCAAAGGACTCGTATTCATTCCACCAACTGAAACATGCAAGTGACCCTTGCAGCCAGGGCTCTAGTTCTGGAGTCTAGATCGAGATTTTGAATTAGATGAGGAAGCCTTTGTACGGTTTGATCTATCCTTCCAGGCGCGAGAAATTCGAGTATTAAAAATTCGGGAGATGGCGCCTTTAGCATACTTGACCTACACTAATCTGAAAATCTGTTAACCTAAACTAATCTGAGAAATCTGACGCGGATCACACAGAGAGTCGCTGTCTACCCTGAGCCTGATTCACTGATTCACTGATTGTAATCAAGGACCTGGATTACTAGGAAGACCAACCAAGCAATCGCCCCTCTATACTAATCCTGCGCTCAGAATTTCGTGAAGCTCGATTCTTTTCGTGACGACATTCTTCGGGGTTTGTTCTATCTGTTGTTTGAAAATCAATTCCGAAGAAAATACAAGGGCACAATCCAAGGACTTCAAATCTTCTCGTGTACTCTGGTAAAAAGGGGATGAAGTACACGACTTGGAGTCCGTTCTCTTAACGACTTCTTTCTTCGCAGTAAAAATATAGACAATATCAACCCGGACAAACTGAAAACGGTAGCGAAACCGATGACAACGCTGAAAGATTGCTGCATGTTCTGCAACGAAGGCTCCTGTTGCTGGACAATGTCCGTCTGCTCGCTCGAATCAAGTGACGAAGGCCTTTCCTGAAGCACAGACATAGAAGCCGTCAAGAGTGGTGGAATTCAGAGAAGCAGCATCGCGTCTTACGAGTTTTGCAGCACTCAGAATCAAGTTGTCGGTAAAGCTTTCAGAATGCTTCTACAGATTTCATCATATAGGACTTTGTTGTGAGAAAGGATGAAACACAGTTCTACTCACGTTGTTGGTAGCGAGTACCACGTCCGGCAGACCATGCTCGAGGACGAATTGCTGCTTGGCGAATAAAAGTTGGGCATGCGAGTAGAGCTCGACATCTAGACTATTAAGATGGATGACCTGTGCTATGACGCTCTCCGGTATCAGCTTTCTCTCCTGCAGAGTTTACAGAGCGATGTGCCCATTGATATTCTTCAGTAAGAGTTTGAAAGACCGCGTGAAATATCAACCACTGATGGACAAAGGTTGAGCAGACATGAGGTACCTCGTGCTGCTCAATATCAGTTGCATTAGCTCACCTTCTTCGTGTAATTTATTGGGGCTATGAGTTCCAGCGACAGCGCACGACGGTTTTCCTGAGTGTAGCGCAAGTCTGCAACGCATCCCTGATAGGATTCCAGGAGCTCATCTATCACATCCTGCCACACAATGGTCAGGTTAGACATCAGACAACCATCCTGGTACAAAACCCTCTCGTCACGACCCACACATCAAAAACTGCTCAAGACGAACTTCAAGCTCTGACAAGATTGTACACTTCGTTCTCGATATTGACTTCCAGACAAACCCGTGATCTAGATCGAGTGAAACCGATTGTCTCATTTCCTTCAGTATTCAGACAGGATTGTAGGGGATAAAGATTTGTCTCGTCGGGGTTATTACAGCACCGCTTGCACGGACACTTCATGATTCTTGTGCTTCAATTGGAGGAACCCTCTCCAGCGGTAATTGGTATGGTATCCTAACAATGGGTGTCTGTTTTTGGAATCAGCAGATAGTACTTATGATAGTAGCACAAAGTAAGCTTGAGGTTCATTCGAGCAGTCCTATCCGATTGATCCTCTGATCATTAATTCGGTGAACACCAATACGACTCCTCCTGCAGCACTTCATGCAACAAACCGTATCTCCTCGAACAGAAGGGAAAAGAGATGAAATCCGCTCACCTCAATCAACACTAGTGATGTATTTTTGGGAACAGGGTCTTGTAAAGATTGCGTCGAGAATCTCCTCTTGCCATCAGCGGCTGCTCTCCGTCGTGGGTTCCGAGGCCCGTACTGATCTGCACGAAGCCATACAGAACACCTTGTAAGCGAGAGGTATGATCGGCTGACGGTGGGTTCTTCGTCCGATCTGTCACCATATTTGTATGATCGACGATGAGAGACCGCAGCCTTGTAATCATCACCAAAGAGATACTGCTCGAGTGAAAATAATTCAGAAATCGAGCACAGGAGATGGTTTACTTTTTTCAGTAGAAGCCTTGACGGCCAGATTTCCCACTCGTGGAAGACTGATTTTGTGTTGCAGCGAGAGTTGACCACGAAGAACGTTCGCAAAAAACTCAACAGATTCTTTCTGGTTGTCGGTTAGGCCGACATAGAGCATATTGTCCAGTCTTCTCTGCGGGAGGAAGCGCTGTTAGCGACCACAATCACGAAGTTGATGCGAATGTGGTTCTCTGTGTTCTGCCACATAAAAGTCAATTGTTTGGAGAGTTTGCGGTGAAAACCTTAGCTACTTCGAGCACGAAACGTCCGAGGTGCTGGTGGTCAACCACACAAGCACGAATCTGTTTCGCCTCGGGCGAACAAGAATTATTGGTGAGACCTGCAATCTGACACGAATTATTCGTCAAAAGAAGAGATAAGCGGTTGGAGCTTCAAGGTTCACAGGCCTGAAAAACTTCACAACGCACTTGGAAAAGAGTGACAAAACCCTATAAGCCAGTATCATCCTTACACTAATAACTGATCGTGACACAAAATCATCACCTCCTTGAAGAGCACTAGATTCTACGTGGTCATCGGCGAAGAGACTAGAATTCCAGATGTAACACCTCAACACACCTGAAACGTTGCACCATTATGGATGAGCTCGTGAGCTACTGGATGATGTATGAATTCGCGGAATGGCATCACAAGAGATTCCACGTCGTATGAGTTATTGAATGCAACTTCTGTCGTAGACTTCAGCAGTCCAGCCTCCCTTGCATCACGCTGCCACCAAAAGAATCACATTATCAATACGCTGCTCCTCGTCTAATCTGGTGCTAGCTATGACGAATCTTTCACGCATCAGATCTGCTGAAGCTGTCGACTCATCCCGAACTTGGGCAAAACGCAACTCTTCCGTCCATAATCTGGACAAGAATGAACTCATACGCCCTCGTGTTCGAGTATCCAAATTGTGTTCAAAGCCATGCCAGTAAAGAACAGAGTGGAGCTTACTCTTGCAAAGACGTCTTTCTGGAAAAAAGGAACCAGATATTTCCAAGGCCAGATATCAAGAGTGCTCATGAGCCCTGTTCTCGTCGTTCGAGTCTTATGCGTGAAAGGGAAAGTATCCTTCAAAGCCGACTCTGTACTAGTCTGTCGAGTCTTGTAGTGCCTTAAGAACCTCGCCGCAACTTCGACAGAAAATTCATAGGAGCTGAGGACACGCGCAACTGGCTCGCGAAGATTGGTAATCACGGAAGCTTTCCCATCGGGAAGCTTCTGCACCATGCTGTAGTCGTCATGCGTAGAGATTAATCGGCATCCTGGTCGGCTGCAAGCACCCGCAGTGACAAGTTCATGCTTTATAAACAGTTTATAAGCCGAAGTTTCCAACAAGGTGTTAGGAAGAAATCTGGCCAATTTCCGTTTTACCACGCCCTGCTTCATGAAGGATCTCCTTATTGAACAAGAGTGTATCAGCTCTAGAAAGCCATGCGCGACGCATACTTGTGAAGGCTCAACCCAAACTCAAACACCTTGGACCATCCCGTTATCTAAAACCGGCAGAAAGATTGAAGAGAATCAGAAGCTTAGACCGAACCATGCCGATGTCTTGCGGCAAGAATAATCATTTGCGACATTGAATGATTGAATGACTGAGTCCAGAATAGAAGCAGACCTGGTGTCGAATCTCAGCTTGTCATAAGACCTTGGGCATCGCTCATCAGATCCAAAGAGGTGTTTCAGAAAGCTGCAAAGAAGAAGATAATATGGAAGTAAGTAAGTAAGTATAGACTAGATTACTACAGGACCGGCAAAGTATGTCTACGAATATTATTTATTATGAGAGGAATCTGGAAAGCACAAAGTTGCTGGCTCTTTCAAGAAACCTCGTGTACAACTGGTGGATATGAAGGATGATGAAGTTCAGTGCATTGGACTTACTGGATGACTACGAGACACATCTGGAACTAAACCTTGGGAGCTTGCGTTTCGACAGACTGCTGACATGAATACTTTATACACAAACGGAGCTAGCAAAAGAATCGTAGATAGCTACTTGAGTTTACAAAATCACAGATATTGTCTTTGATCATGACTCATGTCATAGACATCGTAACTCCACGTTCAGTTTTGCAGAAAAAGGTCAGTTGATAAAGTTATTGGGCATCTGTTGTAGTTTTTACAGACTGTAAGAGTGGCATCTTAACCTACTGCACTTTCCACCGTCTGAGTGGAGCCATACTTCGGCAATAGAAGTAATCGCATCTCTTCTATGCCCGAAAGGTGGGTAGTACAAAAAAAGGTCATGTTTCCTCTTCGTCTCTGGGTACTCTTAACATTTGAATTCAGAATTCGTGGCTTCTTTCCCTCGTCCCCGTTGGTCATGAGGTTATCGAACACAGCCGTCGTTCTAACTAGAAGGCCATGTTAACACTATATGAATGCGGCTCACAGTCAACAGGAACCCCAGTAAACAACTACTTCTCATATCAGACAGTCTTCAGATGCTGGGCCCGCAAATGCTACAACCACAAGGTCAGCTTCTGCCTCTTGTTAAAAAATGTACTGCGTAATGAAACCATCAACCCAAGTTTGCTCTTACATTCTGACACTCATGAGTGCAATATGAAACACTCGGTTAAGTTTCTTCCTATGTTCTCTGAGGTATTATATTTTAAGAAAGGCAGTGCTTAGTAACATTTAGCCGGTGTTCGTTGAGGTAAGAGAAAGACCGATGATCAACTTTCATTGCACGGACAGTAGACTGTACTTTCAAGGTTCAGACTTTTATGAAGAAGTGCAATTCTCCGGCTTTTGTTGGAACTAAGGAGAGGAAAGGCTCTTTGCATCTGTAAGAAAATCTCCGATAGGGAACAAAACTTACAAAAAACACACTCCCGTTTGTTAAATTCACTGCGTAAATAACAGTATGTCAATACGCTCACACGAGAGACGCAATGGAAACCAGTAAACAAGTGAACCAAGACGGGGATACTGGGCCAAAGTTGATCAGACATTGGTGGAGAACGATAAACTCTAACTATCTACATCAAGCCGATCCACTTGAATCACCAGGTTTATGCACTGAATAGGCAGGACTGAGATCAGAAGCCTAGAAGATGACGACAGAAACATGACAGAAACAACACACTCAGAGACGCGAGAGATACAACCTGATGGTACGAAACTGCAGTTTAGCTATCTGTTTCCATTATATCTGGTTCCTGTTTGCAACTGAAACAGTAAGCAGAGGTGTTGTGTTTCTTGGTGAAACACCTCGGCGGTTCGAAAGAAGAAAATTGTACCATTGGTGATAAGTCCGCCCACCAGTTCTGGGAATATGGAGAAAGAACAGGAGATCCCGTAGCTTCAACTTTTGAAAATTCTGCGGAGCCGCGAGTTCTTTTTCGGACCAGGATCGCACGGTCAGCTCGCAGTGCAGCTCGTCGAGCTGAGACGCTGCCCACGATTGAGGGATGAGCACAAACACTGCGCGGTTCAAAAGATGGGTGCATCAGGCGCCAGAACAGTAATCAAAAGCAACTCAGTACTGAAAATGAGGATTATTCTCATCTTCACGCTGCCTACAGCGTTGGGAAGAAAATGAGAAACACACTGATTATATGCAGCTTTGACATCGCCCTGTTTGATACATTTCAGTCTCATGCTTGAAGACATAATTAACTGCAGAACTGCAACGGATGAGGGTCAAATTACAGAAAATGGCGATCGGCAGCGCGTTCATGATTCGCGAAATCGGAAATCTGAAGCAACACCACTTTCCGTCAGTGTCGAGCGCCATCATGTACTCTGAGAATTCGACAATCAGCGAATGCCAAAATCTCCTGAAAGTCCTATTTCTTTCGAAAGCTCCATCGTCCACTTCGGATCATGATCAAATCCCGCACCGCGCAGGCCAAAATTCTGTAGTGCGAGCCCAGAGCTCCAGATAGCCTACGGAAGTCAAAGGGAACACGAGAACTGAACAGCCACCCCAACCTTGGACCCACTACTGTACGATTTAAACCCAGAATAAAATTGCCAAGAATCGCCCTGAAGATCAGCGTTCTTAAAACCGATCGTGGCATATTTAATAGGAAAGTCCGATAATGCAGCTCATTGACGGATCACGAAATGGGCAGGCGAGCTGCCCGAGAGGTCTACACATATCGGAAATTCCGACATATGCAGACTCCTTTAGCATGGATTGCTCAGCTACGCCTGCATCTCCCCTCCCCCTCCTCTTCAATCAATATGTGTCTCCCGGCTCTTCCCAGAAACCCGCCCTCCTCTGGCACCGGCCTGAGTACGACCGCCGCCCGCTTTCGTCTCGTTCCCGCAATGGCGTCTCCGTCCATCGGCGTACCCGTGCGCACTACGTTCCACTCAGCCCCCTCACTCCTCATTCCCCCGAGTCCAGTACTGTAAAGGACATGATGCAGACAGCAGCTTTATAATTTATCAACTTTTCCATTCTTGAGAGGATATCGATCAGCCCAAACGCTTGGACTCCTTTCTAAGAAATTTACAGATCATACATGGTCTGTAAAATCGAACCAAGTTGTTGATATTCGTACCTCATTTTCATTCCTACACTGAGCTTTAAATTATCCTGAATTTATATCTCAATGTGAATGAAAAAAACGAATGTATAAATGAAATAAAATGAATAAATAATCAAATGTCTAAAAACTCTTTTTGAATGAATATATTCATAAATATGTATAAATATTGACACCAAAGTATCAATATCTTATTCATGCTCCGATGAAAGATCTTGGAAATGATGATCTTCAAGTTTTATCATGGCATGTTATTGCTGATGATCATCTTTTGAGTATAAGACTTTTTAGCTCTCTAATACTATTTTACAGGAGATGGTGTGAGCAACTCCAGCAATAAAAGTTAGCTTGTTCATAAAGCTTTGTATTTGTAACCACAGCTTGTTCCACGCAAGAAGATTCCAACTGTAACTGAGGCAGACTTCATGTGTCAATACTAAAATCTTGAAGAGATCAAGAATGGAAGTCGATCATTCCTCATCCTCATACTTTGATTGCACCGTCTTAGCAGTCAAAGAGCTCAACAATCTTCTTGCAGTTACGCAATGCATGAGTCATTACTGGAATAATCCAAAAGTCACACTTAATAGTAATAATATGATCCAACACCTTGTGCAGTGATTTTTTTAGCAATAAAGCTAAGAATGTAAAACCAATACAAAAGCTCATTAGCTCACTCTCTTTCATTCACATTGGTATCCACAAGCCTCAACAAGTAAGAATCCAATATGAGTTTATTATTCCCGTATATGCATGAAAAGCCGAATAACACGCCAATGTGGATACTCTTGGATGTGCCACAAGGTTCGGTATTTAAATGAATGGTCTTTCATCATACATTAATGTTTTAAATTATATAAACATCAAAAAAATTTGTTTAGTGGCCGATAGAGATGGGAGTATCATCGTTCATATGCTTTAGTGATGTTGAACTGAAATGTCGAGATGTTTGAAATTTTTAATATTATCAATAAAAACCTCTATAATAAAGGTTTGTTCATACTAATCATGAATGATGTGCACATTATCCCAAATTTGCTGCATTCGTCTATATCTTTGATCCGATTGATGATTTTATAATCATGTTATTAATTAGAACATAACCACATGTTACTCAAGATGAAGATAGATGATCTTGCGTCGAATTTCAATACACCATTTATTAATATAAGGTTCATCAGCTGGAGTTAGGTAAAAATAAGTGCTAGAAGTATATCAACAATGTTTCTGAGAACTATTACTCTTATGTCAGGAAGATAGTAGAAGTGTGGAATAGATTAACAGTATTGAGCTGTTGTTGTTTTTACTGAAAAATTGGACATCTGTAAGTTAATTTTACAAGATTCATGAATATACTCGCACAAATATAAGGTGTAGCCAAATAAAATGTTAAGACCTGATATATATGCAATTTCTACCAATTTCGCTTATAATATACTGAAAATATTATCTCCAAACTTTTTTCAACTACTAGAGTTATCAAAAGGCATGTTTCATAAACTTTTGACAAGATCATTACTGATTTTAAATCTTCTGAAAGTCAAGTAAGTTCATCCTGAAGTTTCAAACGAGAATTCCTTTCATCTTTTTGTTAAATTTTTTTAATATAAGCATTAATATTTTAATCTATCAGCTTTTCTGATTCCCGCCCACCAATGCTTAGGTTTGGCAATGGCATTTCTCACGGGTTATCCGGAATATAATAGTACTTTTTTCAGTCGCTCAGAATCAAATTTTTATTTTTATGTTGAATCTACATATAAGCATGAACTTTTCATAACTATATACTTTTTTTAAATATAATTTCATTAGAAACTCATTTAAAACATATGACACTCATAAAACTATAGCTAACTAGAATTAATCACTAGTTAATTTATGATGCAAGAAAAAAATATACAGTCATCTTGCAAAATAACACAATGTTTTGAAAAATATATAAAAAATACCTTTATCAACACATTAATTGGATCAAAATTACCATCAATCTTTATTATTTCAAATTTCTTACAAAAAATTGCATCCTTCATACAAAGATAGATGATGTTGATGTGTTATGCTTTATGTGATTTGTAACAAGACGTAACCTACGTTAACTACCACACTGAATATTGACAATCTCATATTTTAATCATATCTCAGTGATAAATCTACTCAAGTAAATAGCTTTTAAATTGATGGATTTCAAGTATGAAATATATATAGATTTTTTTAAATGACAAATTTTGTTTAATGTTAGAGATATTGTTCTCATTAGAATGGGATGAGAAGCAGATGATTTTGATGGGAAAAATGGTGTAATTGGACCAGTATGATTTCGATTGACAAAATAGTGAGATAGTAAGGTTTATGTCTCAATATTTTTTTCCATAGTAGAAAATCATCACGTATTTAACTAATTCATATCAGATCTCCCATACTTCATATGAACCATGTAAGCTTATAAAATACTTTAGTCTGTACTTTGTGCTGTTTGTGAATGGTTTTTCTTTTTCATTCATGTGAAACAAACACTCTTTCCCCAATTCAAAATTACTGTAAATATGTTGATAAGAAATATCAAACAAGATCAAATGTTAATTTGAAATAGATGACATGAAATTTTTTTAATAAATATAATCACGTATTTCTTATGTATATATTAACTAAATGAATTCGAAACATATTAAGAATTGATGAGAAATCTGAATAGTATTTTTCATAAATAACATAGTTGTTCAAAAGTAAGTAAGTATATTTATATGCATAATATTACATCAAGAATGATGATTGATCATGTTATTCCATGCGAGCTTGTAAATATATATTTAATATAATATAATTTCCTAAGATTAGAACATTTCAAGAATATTGTACTCTCATATTTGAAAGCTCTTAAAAAAAGTCTAAAATATACCAATTCTCTTAGGAATAAGTTGCAGGTTATGCCATGCAATCATGACACTCCAAGTGACCCAGACCATTTTTTTAATTTATGGAATCATCCATGATGAGACATCAATTTGATATTATGAATGAGAACAATCTTCTAGCAGAACTCATATTCAAACGTTCCAATTTATCCTTCATATTACAAATCAAACTCAGTAATAACTATTTTAGTCTTTTCGTTAAGAACAAAACAGATGACACTTTCTTCTGAATTCATTTAACTGCTGCAACGAGCACCTCTTTCTTCAGTTCCACAAGTAGCCTTCTCCCTAGTATCTACACAAGCATAATCCGAAGCAATATGTGACATGGATATATGAGGTCGACATTTCTATAGTAAAAAATGTGAAAGTACATTTAATTTCAATGTGAAAGTACGTTTAATTTCAATGTGAAAGTACATATTTGCAGAAGTCAATACGGAGCTGGTGCAAGAGCGCGACGTCGCAGGTGTCCATTAGGTCGGGAAGGAAAGAGGAGAAAGCGACGGGAGAAGCATGCGAGGTCCGTCAATCGAACGGAGTCAGCGGAAGGAACCTTTAATATTCACCGATTTGGATCAAGCAATTTTGGCGGTACGAGAATTGCAGCGCGAGAGACGATGCAGAGCATTGCGGACCCGGAGGAGAATCTATACGAGGAACATCTTCAGCAGGTACGCGGAATGCCACCTGCCGTGGCTTCTGATTGGCGATGTCCTTTGATGTCTTTTCTTTCGATCTTTGCGCTCGACCCCGTAAGCCTTGTGCGTGTTGCATGGTTGCATTTGCGAGTCGCATTGGCATTTCGCAGCCCCTCGTGTTCCCAATTCTGCGGTCAGTTTCTCTACATTGGGAGCTGAATCTTGCAATGTGAATTATCCCACCAGCTTCGTAGGGTTTCGACCCGTAAAAATTGTCCTTTAGGGTCTGACAGCTAGTGGCTGCCCAATTGTTAGTGTTTTCCATTTACTATCTGCAGGTAGTCACAATGTGCGTGTTTGAATTTGCTCACTCGTCGAAAATTTGATCAGCCAGTCTGCGAAAGAGCCTCGAAGTTCGACCTTACTGTTTCATTCCAGCAATCAGCGCTGTGCTCTACGAGCTGTGCTATGAGCCCGTGCGATTTCTCTCCCGTGTTTTATAATTTGAGACTGAGAGGAGAGGGAAGGAGAGCTTAGGGGAAGGAAGGGAGGAAGAGCGAGAGAAGTTGGCGATGGCGAATGCAATGTATGATGTAAGTGTGCAGGCTGAATTGTGCTTCTGAAATTTGAGGCTGTTCGCTTAGTGGAATCGTTGATATAAGCAACAAATTGTACCTCTTCCTCTTCCTTCTCTTCCTGATTTCGGGTTCTGCATGGAGCGATTTGCTTTACAAGTACGAGCATTAGTTCGATATTCCTGAGTGATTTCTGTTTTCCTTGATTTCGAGTTCAAGCCCTACCTAGTTTCTGCTTTTTCTTGTTTGTTTTGGGCCCATCATGTGAGATTGTGGCGGTTTCGATCCATTTTTCGGCTCGAGAATGGTTTTGGGTTTCTAGCGGAAACTCAGGGCGGGCCTTTGGAACCTATAGTTTATCGTAAGATCAGTTCTTTGGATGTTCTAATCTGATCAGCCCGTGGCAACCCTGCAGGATGATTTCGATTTTGGAGGTGATGATGGAGAGGACAGTAAACTTACAGGTGCATATGCATTGCTGCTTGATTGTTTACGTTATCTCTTGAGTCGTAGTATACGGCTCCCCACTGTCGCATGCAGTCATTGGGAGAAAATCAAGAATTAGAAACTAGAGAACCTTCGACACTTCTTCTTTCCTTGTTACTCAACAGTTTTTCTTTTCTGTTTTCTCAGCAATGTACTGCCTTCTAGAGGCTCAAGCGCTTCAGAGGAGGGTGTACTTTGGCAATGTAATAAGTTAATTTGTATACAGAGAGCAAATTATGTTTCAAAAGAAGCCTGCATAAGTTTTTGCTCTGTAGTTAACGCATTTGAGAAGAAAACGTGTTCACAAGTCAAGTTGGACCAAAGTTGAAAAGTCGTTTTTATGAACATGACGGAGCCAGATTGCACACTTGCACACTTGTTTTGCTTTTGTCTCCTTTCAACGGCTACAGATATTTACGAAGCAGCCATAGTATGGGGCATTCTACTTGTTATCTGACATGACATCATCTGGAAAAGCACAGATAATGAAAAGCATGTCTGAAAAATATGTCAGCCTTAATTTAACGTTGGTTTCATAGGTGGGAAACGGAGCTACGGAGAGCTTGAAGACGATGATGACGAAATATATCCCGCCAAGAAAGTAAGTGTCTTCGGACTTCATCGTGCGACTGAATTGAACATTCTCCTTTTTCACACTCGTCATTTTAACCTACTTTCCAGTGGGGAAAGGAGGAACTGGTGTGTAGACTCGTGCAATTTAGATTTTTCTACCTGTCAAGACACCAGTATCAATCATCAGCGGTGGCACTACACGTTAGCTGATGATGGAGTTTTGTTGTTTCTTTGAAACAGATGTATGCCAGTTCTGTTGTTGCAAATGATCATGCAACTACAACCATACTCAACCTACGTGCAAGGTAAATACTGCTGTGAGGCCTTTCTTCGTGTCTGTGAAACAGACTGACGGTTAATTGGTATTCGCCAGCTATAGAGGGTTGAGAAGTTGTAACTTGGCTTCTATACAAATTGTAGTGACGCACATACACGGCAGATTCAGTGATTCTTCTTTCCTGCAAAAAAGTTAAGATCTCACTTGTTGGATCTTCATGCCTGGAATGCTTGGGATAATCAGCTTGGAGGAACGAGAAAGTACGATTGCTGGTTTACAGGTATGTGGATCTTTCTCTCCGAGAACTTGTTGAATAGTTGGTCTAGTATCGTACTAAATTTATGACCACAACTTTTTTTGTTGTTGTTGTCTTAGCTCGTGTAGCCTCTGCCCCAGTTACAGTGGCCGCATTTGTACTTTGCTGAAAGGTTCCAAGCACTTGTTTTCGGAGCTCATGTGTCGTGAAAAGACTGCCTCAGTGGTGGGCCGCATCATAGATGCGGTTCGGTGGAGTATCTCAGTGTTCCTTGATTTTTGCAGAAAGAACTCGATGCGGCGAATGCAGATCTGGAACGCTGGCACAACACCTTCCAAATAGAGTCGGTTGTGCCTTTAGGGACAACTCCTGGTAATATATCTTGGACCATATGCATTGATAGATTCATTCAAAATTTAAAATTACATCTTTGTTGTGCAGCCTAATAGCGTGGCTTTTCAACATATTGTGTTCTGTCCAAGTGATAATTTTAGGTGGTATCTAGTACTAGGAGCAGATGAACATCGCAAAGTTAATAATATTTGTTTCTCGGTTTCTCTTGAATAGAGCCAGATGTTGTGCTGGCCGCGTTGCAGAAAGTGCGCACGTCTGAAGGAGCCTTAAAAGAACAGGTATATTTTATCAAGCTGGTCATCTCAGTTTCAAACTTTCGTCAGATGGAGATGTTTTAAAACTCCGTCATGTATGACGGAGTTTTAAAACTCCGCGGAACGAAGTATGAATATCATATATTGGTAGTAATTTGGGAAGGATGCATCGCTTTAATCCAATTGAAGCTGGCTTTATTCTCTTGCAGAGCTATCATTAGTCTGCAATCAGTTGCTTATTTATTCTTCTTTGATGAGACCTGTCTATTGACTGTCGTTTATTTTCTTATCGTGCTATGTAGAGGATCCTGTACACTTTTGGATCCAATTTTCTCTGCGCTGATGACGTTGCGTTTTGTTTCATCGCTTTGATTTCTATATTAGCTGCTGAGCTCAAAGCGAAGGGAAAGTGCCATGCTTGTGAAGCTAGCGGGGAGGGAACAAGAGATTGTTGATCTGAAGGTTAGTCTTCCTGACAGTTGAGTATGGGTTCTACCGTCAAATGCTTTAAAAGGCAGGACTGACTTATTCAGTCTCGGCACACGTTATCACACGGTTCTGTTCGTCTCCCGATTCCGAGACAAATGTCTAATCTTAAAGATATTCCGATTTTTAGGGTCAATCATGCTCTTGTTTCGCAAATGAAAATATTTCTTATTCTTTCTTTTTCTCTTTTGGAATCTGATGTTACTTCTGATCAGGGTTTGTGCTTCTTTTCTATTGCAGTCTCTGGTCAATGACTTGAAACTCATGCTGAAGCCTCCAATGCTACAGGTAGGCTTTGCAATTGAGGTTTTTCAGCTTTTTGTTGCTAGTTCATTCCATTTTCTTGGAGATTGACCGATTTCGTAATTGTTTGCGTGACTTAGACTCGCCGCCTGTTATTGGATCCAGCTATTCATGCGGAGTTTACGAGGATGAAGGTACGCCTCCATTTTCCTTCAACGAATGGGAGTACTATTTGCATATAGCATGTAATTAAATGAAAATTGCGGAAGTTTTGACTGAAATATATTTTGGTGGATTCAGAAAGAGCTTGAAGCGGCTGAGAAGAGGGTGAAGGAGCTGCAGGATGACCTCGCTGCCGTGCAGTTTACTCCTCACAGCAAGAATGGTAAAATGCTGATGGCGAAGTGCCGCACATTGCAAGAAGAGAATGAGGAGATAGGACGAGAGGCTTCTGAAGGAAAGGTTGTGCTCGTGTCTGTTTGTCCTTTTCACGGAATTTGCTGTATTTGCTGGGCTTGATGACATTCGTTGCGTATTATGACGAATTAAGAAACCACCTTGAAATGCGGTGTATATTTAGCTGTACGGCTCACCACAGATTTCGATGGTGAGTTCCTACTTAGAAGGAACAGAAGCGTGCGGTTGCCGATAGATCTGTGCCATAGGTTTGTGTATATCACTTCCAGCGTTTTTAGTCAACTTGTCCCTTGATAAATGTCATAGTTGGTCTTCCTGGTTCTTGCTTGTTAGCATGTCAACATAGAACTCGAGCTTTTCTCATTCTGAGTTATCACATTGTCTTGTGGTCTTCAGATGCATGAACTCGGCACAAAGCTTGCAATGCAAAAAACTTTGAACAACGAGTTGAGACGTGGATACCAAGGTAAATACACGGCATCGTAGCGCCTGCTTGGTTATGAGGAATCAAATATATTCTGTACCAAGGACTGGATTTCAGTTTGTATCCTCGCATCGTGGATTAACCTTTTATGCACTACCTTGAAAGCTCGTTATTGACAAATTGACATTTTTCAGAGCTCTTTGAGTACGTGGAGGATTTGAATGATGAAGTGGAGCGTTCTCAGCAAACTGTAAGAGATTTTTTGGGGATTATTTTTACAATATTCAATTTTCTGTTGAAAGATTATTGGAATTCTTTACCTTTTAGTGATAAGTGCTTTTTCTTCTCTCCCCCAATTACTCTGGTATCCTACTACACTCGTCAACCTACATCTGGCCTCTCTTTCCACTCAACGTGAAGGTTACAAGATGTTTCGGCTGGAAGGCTCATCGTAACTCTGCCGTCTACAATTGTAACTTTCCTTTTCTAAATGTTCGGAAGAAACTGAAGTTGCTGAGTTGCTTCACTCAGATATATATTCTACAAAGACAGCTGCAGCAAAAGGAAAACCAAGTGCAGCAAAAGCACAATCAACTTCTGGAGCAGCGCAAGAGAGCCGATCTTCGGGACACAAGTATGAAGAGTAGAGAGGAAGAAAGAGTGCAGTATCTCCTGGAAACCAAAAGGGATGGCTACATGGAAGAAGACAAACTGACTGGAGACTTGAAGAGAAGGTAGATCAACCGCAGATGGTTTGTTGAGCGTCAGCGACTGAATAGGGAAGACTATCTTTTGATAGTGTTATGAAGGTTGAGCAGCTGGAAGGCATTCGCCTGACGTAACGTTCAGCAACCTGAGACATCTGGTATGACGTCATTGTTGCCGTCGGTATTACTGCTCAGTTCCAAACATATATGGCTCTCTTTGCTCGATCAAGCAAATTGGTGGTTCAACACTGGATCTATAAGGTTTTTGGCGAAGGCAGCTGTTCAGAGCCGTTTGGCAAGCAAGGCTCACCCGTACGCTTGTCATATCCGTGGACGTGTTTCGTTTCTCTGTAGCTCTGTAATGAAACTCAGTGCCTTCCTTACAAGTGACTGGGTCAAACATGGGCTGTAAAGGTCTGGAGCCACTAAGAGCAAAGATCTCATCTTGGTGAAAGGTGGTCAAGGTTCTACAAGCCTTACGAAGCTGTACGGTGCGCAGCATTGACCACGATCTACGGACTATCCCAAATCAGATTGGAGGAAGGTCCTACTGTTGGGAATGTGATAAAGCATTACACGTCCTTTCAAGGTGTATCTGCAAGCCGTGACAGATGGCAGTTAGGTCTTAGGGCCTAGGCTGGAAATTCCTTACAGTTGGAAATCGTGTACCTGTGTGGATCTCGTATTTCCAATCATCATACCTGGACAAGTGGTCTTCTCAATTTCAGTGATGGTGGGCTAAAGTCAGGTGAGACATTCTCGATGTCACTGTATTTGCTTAATATCAGCTTTGTAAAAATAATTTCCATGAGAAACTGAACGCATGAGTTTCCCTCCTTTTGAGGCTGATTATACTACTTCCTACTCAGCCTTCCTTGTGTGCAGCAGCTCTGCATTTAACCTTTAACAGCAGTTTCTTGGAGTTGGAGGGTCGCCTCGGATTGCTTTTCAAGTTTCTAATTGAGGTGATAGCATGGTGGAGTTAGCTAGGATGACCTCACCAGCGAATGGGTTGCCTGGACTTAACATGAAAAGGTGGTTCTGTGTATGCTACTGAATCACAAGGAGTGTCTTGAATATCTACTGAAAAGCACTTGGTCTTTCAGTGCCTTTGAGATACGTTGCAACACTGGAGGACTCGAGTTCCATTACTGCGTAAAGATTTCATTTGACATCGATCTTCACTTGCTTTCTGCGGAGTACGTAGAAAAGTTTTGCCAATTCGCAAAACCGTGTGGACAAAGTCCCCGAAGGTTTTCCGATGTTAGCGTCCATCCGTGATTCGGTGACTCATATTGACATGTCTGCTGATTTCCACAGGATTTCTACTTATGAGTGTCCATATTAAATGAATAGGACTAATAGAACCTTTGGATCTGGCATATGTCCATGGTAAATCGTGAATGTTGATTTTTGCCGGAGTTGTATCTCTTGGATGGATTAACTGTACTTTATTTTTTTCAATACTGGAGTAGGAGCTCCAGCGACATACCACGAAGTGCAAATTTTGCCGAAGTATGGAAGTTGGAAGTTGTGATGGCTAGAGCTTAAGTGACTACTCAACAGAGTCTTCTGACACAACCTCGAGCTGGATCTACCTAGAATCAGTTTCAGGGTTTGTGTTTCTATCTCTCGGAATCAATTGGGAAATAACAGCGCAGGATTGCGTTCATGTGTACCTATATCCATGTGGCCCCGGTCTTTTTCCTGTCATGAAATTAGCTCGTGAAAGTGATTCGGTAGACCATAGGGACATGGGCTTTTTCACAAGTACAGTTGTAACACTAGCACATACTAATTTTTGTGACTACATTTTGTCGACATGAGCTTCCCTCTAGTCATAGTATGAAGTACATCATTTATTATCTCCCGTTGATATCATATGCATTCAACAAAATAAGGGAAATCAAGTTCTTTATCACGTGAAGGATTGTTTATGTGAGCACAACATCATCAAACATATAAAACAAGAACACAACCAGTTTGGAAGCAGTGCGGTGCAACGGCCGGCAGCTAGCCGACAACGGCCGCAAATCGGCTGCGGCCGGCGGCAGCCCACCTAAAAAAAATATAATTTTTAGTCAATTAATCATAGTTTATAAAAATTTTCCAGAATTAAAAAATTCATCTTGGAAATAGTTTCTATAAAAAATTAGAGTTTCAAGATGAAATATTCGAGTTAGTTGGTTCGCACAAGTCATAAAGAACTTTGAGCCGCTTGATGATGTGAAGAAGAAAATATTCCTTGATTTGGGCAGCAAGAATCATGAATAACTTCGAGTCGATTGATGAAATGAATAAAAAAACATTCTCTGATTTGAGCAGCAAGAATCATGAATAACTTTGAGTGGCTTGATGAAGTGAATAAGAAAATATTCCTTGATTTAAGCAACAAGAATTATTAATAACTTCGAGTCTCTTCATGACATGAAGAAGAAAATATTCCTTGATTTGAACAGCAAGAATCCGAAGTATCAAGTGATGCCCGTCTACATCTAAGACTCAACCATCAAGTAACAAACTATGGCAGCGCATGGGCCAGGTAGTCTCAAAGGTCACTGGTGAATGGGTGTGCATCTAGGTACTAGTGGAGTCGGATGGCAAAGTGTGAACCAAACAGTTGTACTTGAGCGCCTGCATCAAACCCACTTGCTTCACTATTTACGTATACAAACTTCCGGGACGGCACGTTGACAATGATCTTACACACCTGCTCGCGTGTGGTTGCTGCAGATAACTTGAGGACCTTAATACTTTGGGGGATGAAGAAGTGCATAATGACCGACTCCGTCAAGATCATTATGACCAATTCTCTTGTCCACATGTGTGCATGGGATATTTGCCCGTTTGCATTAGTGGAAGTAGCGAGATTTGAGAATGCCAGCCAGACTATCATGGACATTGGCTTTGCAAACAAGACGTCGTTCATCGCGGAGGACTTGTTGCAATATGGGTCAGATCATCAAGCGCAAGAACATGGACCGTTACGACAAGGGCGTTGTCAAGCTCCAGGCCATAGTGCACAAGCACTTCAAGGATAATGTACGTGCTAAATTTTCCATTGATATTTGGATGGACAAAGCCACACATACATTGTACAGCGCTGACACTATGCACCTGAGTGATGATAGTTGGGTACTTCACGCCTGCATCGAGTCATGTGATGAGTTCAACGAAGGCACGAGTCACACCGCACCAACGATTCATCGTGATCTTATTAATAGTGTCCGCCCTTTCATAACGTGCAAAGAGGCGGAGACGGTTCAGGCTGCAAGTTGGCAAGTTGTAGTCAAATTGGATGCGGCGTCGAACAGTACCAGAGTGGAAGGAATGTCGTCGTAGTTTGAGTTGAACATGTGCTATTTGCATCATATTTTGGCCTGCATCAGCTACGTGATGCGAAAGCAGATCCGCGTTGTGGATGATGTCAAGCAGCCTCTTGTCTACGTCTTCTACGATGAGGCCGAAGATGTCTATGACACGATCGATGACTCGAAGAACTTGATCAGTGCATGAAGCAGAAGCTCTTGAACAATCAGCTGAAGAACAAGATGAAGTAGGACGTTGCAACTCGTTTTGACGGTCTACTAATCAAGCTTCAGTTAGTGGATGCTGAACTATCTGCAACCATTGAACTCTTGAAAAAGAAGATACAACAAGAGCACGCTAAGAAGATTGACAATTTTATGCTCAAGGAATTGGTTCAACTGTTGCATTACTTCAAGCTAGCCATCAAGTGTCTCAAACCGTTCAATACGCCGACCATCCATCTTGTCGGCATGTGGAAGGCCGAATTGAAGGTTCATCTTTAACCGCGAGATGAAGTTGTCATCATCAAGGGCGACAATGATGAGGATGTCATCATTCCCTCAGAAAACAAAGAGATTGCCCCATCAAAGTGCTTCGAGGAAAAATACATCCTCACTCTGCTCCACGCTGCCTATCTGGATCCGCTGCAAAAGAACTGCATGCTTGAATATGGGTTCGTCCAAGTCACAATCGACTAAGACAAAGTGTACATCAAGGACATTATGCGCAAGGTCGGCGCACCCATGCAGCCAACAGCGTCAATTGCCGGTGGCAATCATCCATCAGTAGCCAAGAAGAATCTCGTTAAGAGACCGTGCACTTCCTTTGTACATACTGGTCCAAGTAGAGACACATCATAGAACGACAAATTAGAGATGATGTAGAGTCTGGCGAGAACGTTAAACAAGAACTAGAAGCTCGCATCGATGTCGAGGTGGCAACATATCTCAATCTAAAGGCATCAAAGAAAGACAAGGATATCCTTCTCCACTCGGATGTCCAAAAATGGGCTCTTCAAGATGGCGATGTCAAGCACGACGTTGGCCTCTTGCCATGATGGCGATTCGCGGTAGATTCTTTTTCGATTATGGCCCGTGCCATACTATCTATACCGCCTTCAAGTTCCATGTCCGAATGCACATTTTCCATTTCCGGCAACACGTGTAGTGACAAGCACAGCTCGCTGAATCCCAACACACTCAACGCCCTCCTCTTTTTGCATTCTAACCAGGACCTAGATCGTTGCATGTAATTCACTTTAAGTCAAGTACACAATTTAATGATGGTTATGGGTCGAACATTGTGATAACAGGCTGTCATATTGCTGAAAAAATTGGTCACGGCTACAGTCCGACTGATGTAGTGATAGATGGCTACGATTGTGGCTGCCATATTGGGAGATGAATTGGGCGGCTATGGCTACGGCTGAGATTTCATCTTGAGTAAAACGGCAAGGCTGCGGATTCCGCAAGATGCGTGTACAACACTGTTTGGAATTATTGAATGTGTACCTTCAATTTGAGATAGTTATCATTTCATTCAAAAATGAACTGATCTATTTGAAGTCAAAATTGATTCTTTAGCAAAAATAATACATATGACACCAAGAATTATAGTCCAGAAAGTATTATCTTTTTTCTCTAGAAAGGAAAGTTTACATAATATCATTGACATCATAGAACATCATCGCTATGCGTTTATGTGTTCATATGTACATATGGTCCATGTTTTCTATCATGAGACCAGGTCGTAAAAGTGGTTTCATCTTTGAAGTGTATCATGTGTTTCTTCACCTTTGGCGCATACAAAGTCTTGTTACTGATTTATCTAAATTTGAACTTTCCTCCATTTATAAAATCAAGCACATCATTGATTACTTTCCACGCATGATCACATGTATCTAAAATTCAAACACAATTAAGTTCTTTTTTATGTGAGGTATTTATTTATGTGAGTACAACGTGAAATATTTGTTTTTTCACGTATTGGATATCTACAACTTGAAATAGTTGTAAATATCATTCTAGTCTATATCAATGGATGAATAATAAGAATTATAAGACTTTTGTTGGTAACACAAGTTAATCATAGTTCATAATATATATATCTTCTTTTGTGTAAAAGAAATAGCGGAAGTCATGTGGTTGATATCATAAACCATGATCACCATCACCTTCAGTTTAACAAAGTCTATCATTCTTTCAAAGTTGAACCGTTTAAAGAGGAATACTTTTATTATTAATAATTTTATGACATAAATGATATGAACAATTCTAGTCCAATTATCTTTTCTCTTTTGAACTTTAGAGAAAAAATAAGAAGAGATTTTGAAGTATGTTAAATCTTGCTGGTTTGCCACAAAAGTTTGGGACTGAAGTTGTGAATAATGTAGCTTACTTGGTAAACATGTCTTGTAATAGCTCTATCAAGTTGAAGACACCGTTTGAATTGTGCTACAAACGGTTAGATGATTACTTTATGATGAGAGATTTTTATTGTGATGCTTATGCTCTTACTCCGAAGTATAAGAGTACTAAGCTTGTTACTAAAACCAAGAAATATGTCTTTCTGGGTTATCAAAGAAGACTAAAAGTATATACGTTGTGGAATGTCAATGTTTGCAAGCTCATTTTCAGTGAGGATGTTTCATTCAATGATACGAGATCATTGAATGAGGGGAAGAAAGTGCAAATTTCCGTTACGACCAAGGACAAAACTCTTACTCCTGACACTGTTAAGTGGCAGATTGATATTCACAACACTGATGATGGTCCACAAAGAGAGTCTTCACCTGTTGTGGAACAAGAGGAGATAATTATTGGTGAATCACATTTAAAGTTAGCACAAATTGATCAAGCAAAATCTTCATCAAGGCGGTAGTTGTGAAGTGCATCTAAACGTAAAGATCCGGCTAGGTATGGCATTTGGTTTGACTCTTCGATCATTGATGATATTGAAGCTGATGCTGAATATTCAGATGACGCTTTGATCATTGAAGATGAAGATCCATCTTCTTTCTCCAAGATCTAGCTTCTAGTGAAAAGCAAGAGTCGAATGCAGAGATGCAGAAAAAGATGAAGTCATTTCATGCCAACAACACTTGGAAATTTGTTCAGTTGTCCCAAGATAAAAGAGTGGTAGATTCTAAATGGGTATACATGAAGAAGTATGAATTCACAAATACAGATGAAAAAATCTTCAAGTCTATGTTGATAGCCAATGGATTCACTAGTTTCAAAGTAATCTACAATACGTTTGCTATGATGGATATTGTGATAGCTTTTTTCTATGTATTAGTCGATGGGGTGATATTCATGCAAAAACCGTAAAATTTTTCAATGAAAGGAAAGTAAGATATGATATGCAGATTGGCTAGATTGTTACAGGGTTTAAAACAAAGTACTAGAATGTGGAATAAACGCTTTAACGACTTCATGCAATCACAAAGATTCTTATGGAGTGTATATGATCCTTGTGTTTACTTGAGAAAGGTTCCCAAAGAGTTATTTGGGCTTACCATTATTGTCTTGTATGTTAATGACATGCTTATTGCAGCTCCGATGTTGATAAATTGAAGGCTAAATTGAGCTCAACTTTTAGCATGAAGGATCTAGGTCAACTCAAAAAGATTCTTGGCATGAAAATATTTAGGGATGAGAAGTCAAATAAGCTTTGGTTATCTCAACAGAAGTATACGGAGAAGGTGTTTGCCAAGTTCAACATAGTGAAAGCTAAACATGTGAATACTCCTTTGGTTGCTCATCTTTGCTTTCAGCAATGCAATGTACTATGGATGCGGTCGCATAAGTCTTGATGTGTTCTATTTCTTATGAGAGTGCAATGAGTAATGAGCAATGCAATGAATAAGCAATGCACACGACTGGATATAACATTTGATGCAAATAAGATGAATAGGTACATGTCAAATCCAAGCAAGGTGCATTGGGAAATAGTGAAGTGTATATTTAAATATCTTAAGTATTCTATATAACATGACTTATTGTTTGATGCTAAAGCAATGAATGCCAAGTCATTTTGGAGATATGTGGACGCTGATCATGGAGGAGATTTGGACAAGATAAAATCAGTATCTATGTATGTTTTGACTCCTACATATGACTACATTAGTTGGAGATCAACACTTCAAAAGTGTATATCTTTGTTATCCACAAAATCTGAAAATGTTATAGCAAGAGAGAGAACAAAAGAAACAATCTCGTCGAATAAACTTATCATTGAGATGGGATTGGCGTAGCAAGATAACAATCTTCATTATGATAGTCAGAGTGCGCTTCACCTTGCTCGGAATCTCGTGATGGATAGTAGGGTGAAGCTCATTGATATCAAGTACAATTTTATCAAACAAGTTGTAACTGAAAATGCTCTTAAGTTCATCAAGATTGATGAAGAGCTTAACCTAGTTGATGGTTTTATCAAAGTGATTACTTTTGATAAGTTTTCAAGACATTGTGCAACTTTGAAGATTTGTATGTAAGTAGTTTCTCTTTGACATGTTGTCATTACGGCTTAATTCTAGTTAACACTTGTTCATGAGGGGGAAAACTATAGTTTAATTTCACTTTCTAGAACTTCTCGTTGAAACTGTAGACTTTAGAAACTGTCTACTCCCGGACTTATGTTAGAGGGGAGCTTGTAAGGTTAATCCTTGTCTTTTTGAACTGTAATTAGTTTAACCATAGTTTGGTTTGGTCTCTAGTTAGTGTTTGAGATACTCAATCCTAGTATGAGCACATTTCAATTTAGACTCACATGTAGACATGCGGAAGAGATATTGAAGAGCTAAGTTATGGAGTCCTCATGTAACATTCTCACTTTAGTGAAGTTTTTATATCAGCCGTGTACGTAGTATTATGTGGAAGTGACTACTTACATCTGTGTGTGATTCTTGTGCAATAAGTATGATATGCTATTTTTATATAAAAGGTGAAAAGATGTAAATCAGATCAATATATAAGAATTATTTTTGAAGTTTTATTACACAATGTTTTATATTTTTTTGCTTGATTATTCACATAACATAAAAAATTTTGAAAATTTTAAAATTTAATATAGATATTTATATATTTAATAAAATGTTAATATAAAAGTTGAAAATGAATTCAAAAAAAAGAAGTCATATTTGATATGATGGATTTATGATGAAAATAAAATAAAATTTAAATAAAGACAAGATGTAATATTTAAAAAAGTCTGAATAATAATGTTATTATACAAGTTTTTCAAGATGAACATAAGTAGAATATATCATAAACATCTTTAGTTAGTTAAAATCGAAATACTTGATACAAGATAGAATTATTATTTAATCAATAATACCAAATGTGATACTATAATTGACATGTTAACAATTATTGTGCTTGATAGATTAGGAATAAATGTGTAATTGAACCATGATACTTGAGATGTAAGCTTGTATGTCTTGAATTCATTCAATGTTAACTAAAAAGTTATTTCAAAACTACACATGAATGATCCATGTGTTTGTTAGATATTTCATTTGTATCATCTATTCATTAACAATGTAATGTAAAATAAAGATGAAATTTTAGTTTTTTGTTTAAGAAATTTATATAAAAAATTTTATTAAATAATACCAATTTTAGAATTTTTGCTTTATTTTCAAATGAGTAATTTTCATAATCTATTGTGTAAGATAAATTACTATCCATAATACATAAAACTTTTATCTTTCATTAAGCATAATTTTAATTTATATGATTTCAAAAGGGAGGAATTTATAATATAAGGATTATATATGACATTTAACATAAAAATTATATTACTTGAGTATATTGCAAGTTAAAATTCAAATTTAAAATTTTAGTTCTTTTAAATATTGATCAAGTAAAATATGAATGATTGGACTACAATAGTTATCCATTTATAAAATTACTTATACATACTAACAATCAAAATATTCTTTTTTTTTCTTTCTGCATTAATGTTACATATTTTTCATAAAATTTATCTCAAATACATGTAAATATTAATTTCAAAATTAAAATATTAAAAGGATATTATTTCATTTATTATATATTTCAGAAGATTATATGGTTCTATTCAAATTTACTAATAATTTTAGTTTCAAGTGAAAACTAGATATTACAAATTGAATTAAATTTAATACATTTGATTTAGACAACACACTCATGCAAAAGTATACTTTAAACCTCTGTATGTCCAGATACTACTAATTCGTCTGATTATTGCAATTTGATGTCGATATCATTCTCAAAGTTAAGAAAAACCTGAAGTATATATCAACTCTCATAACTACTAGACTTCTGTAGTTATGAGATGGGTGCGTAAAATTATACAGACACTTACGATCTACAACCTCGATAATTCCGCAGAGTATCAAGTATAATCTTGGAAGCAAATCGAAGAGCAAGTCCCAGGGAATATTTCAGGGGATTCTTGTTAGAATGCCTGCATTCGGAGAGACTTAGTAGCTCAGGCTGGTTAAATGGTATGCGCACCAGTATGGCAGATGCACAAAGGGGCATAAATGCTGGCACGACGGCCAGGAAATAACAATCATAGCTGAAAGTGAAGAAGACTGATGTCCACTCGGATACATTACGGCTTGAATTGAACCAATATCCAATGATGGAGCAATAGAACAATGGAACCATCTCACCTGAGCATCAGGACGAACCGAATAACCGAAGCTTCTTCCTTCCCCATCCTCATTATGAAGCTATGATACGACATTTTGCAGATGGTAAGCGATCTGTGTGTTCCATGTCCCGAATCAGACGAATCAGAAACTTCTCCTGCTCGCAATGCCCCGGTCCCAATCAATTACACGCTCTTGGATCTTTACTCATCGCCTTCAGGTAGAGGCCAGAATAGATTGATTTAAGAAATTCGAGCTTGTGTTGGGGAATCTGGAGGCCGGACATCGTGACCCAGAAGTTGGGTCCATGGAATGGAATTGCATGACGTGAGGGGGTCGTTGGTGAATCTGGATCTCGCGGCATGGCCTGGCCAGTTGGCGTGATGATTGCAGGCAAAGCTGCCAGGAGTCATCGGCCGGCCCGGATGAGGATCATCATCAAACCCCGTAGCCCCTTGTGATGCTGTCGCCGAAAGCCGGAGCTGCATGATTAGAGACGATTAAGAAGCTTTCGGTTCTCGGAGCATGCGCTCTGGTGACATCACGTGGCCATCGTCATGCCAGACCCCAGCGCGAGCTCTGCTCGACCGCCCGCCACCACAAGCTCCCGTTCCGTCTCGTCCACTCCATCCATCTCCTTCGGCTCTCCTCCCTCGCGCTCTCTCTCTCTCTCTCTCGGATGTGTCGCGCCCTTTTTTACTTTCGCCGATGATAACGTCGCGAGCTCGGGTCCACCGTCGGGCACCTTTTCGTCAGTCCTTTTCTCTATCGCGATCGGATTTTACAATCCGGTGACGTAGACATATTAGCGCGGCCTGCATGCCGTCGCGGCGGGTGCCAGCGGTGCGGCCCTCGGATCGTCCCGATCGTCGCCGAGACAAGAGCTTTTGCGATTATTTGCCCCCTCCCCTGGCCCCGACCCGAGCCGACGGGACGCTCCAGACACGCCGTCGCCGTCGTTACGATGGTCGCTGTACGATGGTTACGGTGTACGATGTACGGTCAAAGCGGGGCTTATGTGCCGCGAGTCGCGCTGTCGAACGCGTGGGAGGTTTGGTGCTCGAGAATCGCCGTCGCGCTTTCGGTCGATCGCACCCCTTTCATCCACGGGCCACGAGCGTGCACTCAAGTCTCCTCACCGCCTGTGCCTTCCTCGCTTGCTTCTGGACGTGCGCGATTGAGCCCGAGCAAGGCCGAAAAGTGAAGGTGGAAATTTCGGCCGCCAATTTCGGCTGCAATCATGGGATCTGCCTAATTGGATGTACTACTAGCGCTGCTTACCAAGCCTCGATTGTGTCTCGGCACTGACAACGTGGTGAGGTGAGGTGAGGCGCGACGGACACCATGATCGAAGGGAAGAAGCAGAACATTACGGGACAGAAGGTGGACCAAATGCTGATAGTAAAGGGAAAGGACTGAGAATGAATCAATGAATGAATGAATGAGCTCGGCGACAAGGAGTGGATACACAAGTACAGCAGCAGCAGCAGCTTGTCAGACGGGACGGACAGAGCGATAGATAGAGAGAGATAGATAGATATGTATGTAGATAGATAGAGTTGTAGATTGATAGATGGATGCTGGGGTCTGACGGTTGATGTCATCAACTGCCGAAGAAATTACCACCTGATGTACAACAACTTGGATTGTGCTTTAGGCGATGGATATTATGTGTAGGTGTGCATCCTAGTACTGGTCGTGTGTTCGTCGTCCCGAACAACTCATGAACTCGATCCGAAAGGTGGAAATTGAGTTTGTGAGCCACACAAAATGGCGGCCGGCGACCAGTTCCTGCATGCCCATGTGAAAGGCCCGATCTCTCCAGGGCCAGAGCACGATTGGAGACAATCCATTGGCCCCTGCTGCGGACGATCAACTAGACCTTAGATTTTGACAGTCGCCTTTGCGTGGCCAGAAAGAAAATTAATGGATGAATGACGGCACCGTGTAGTTGATCGAGATATTTCTCCAATTCTTCGAGACCTCGGATCGTAGTCTACAAAGTTGGTATGGTTTCCAGTTTACCCTGTTCGACCCTCGACAACTGACAGTGCAGAGTTCGTCCTAATCATGACACGGAAATTGGGCACGTAGAAATCCCGCTTTGGAGGGTGGCTGCCTGCCTGCCTGGCCGTTGGTGACGTCCGGAGTCTGCACCTTTGCTGTCACTGCGAGCTAAACTAAAATGCCCATGCCCAGATCCTTGGCCCATGAATATTCAGAAAGGACTCAGGATCCCCACATACATTCGTAGCTACCCAATCAAATTGCGAGGGTCGACCAGAAAGCGTGAGTGTAAGAGTAGCTGCGCGATGAGAGAAGTGCATAGAGATCAACGCATGATTGGCTCGCAGGCTGCAGAAGCAGTAGGAGTAGTAGCAGTGGCGGTGGGGGAAGCAGTGTGCATATAGAAGAGGTCTGACAGTCTCAAACCTTCGGGTGAGCTCATCGCCCACTCTGTAGACACTCGTCCTCTGCTGCTACGAGAGTCCGAGACTTGTGAAAGAGTACCGAGCCCAAAATCACTTGCAATCTAGCGGAAAGGTTCTATTTTACTGTCTAAGGTTCATGGTGAGCGTGCTAGAGTCGGCCTGCTCGACGACACCTTTGAAAGCGCTAGATCCAAGACTTCACGCACGTCACTGACGTCCGCAGTCAATTCGCTCGACCTGGTCGTCGGGCAAGAGCGGTACATTTCGAGACATATTCTCAGCTGTATCATCGTGTGGATCTCAACATCCGTCTTTGTGAGTTTTGTCTCGCGTGCTGTCGGTAAAACTCACCAGCCCAACGACGACTCCCACTGCTGTTAAAAGCAGCAGGTCATGAATGATCAGAGATAAGAAACAGAGGTGGAATTCCGACTTTAGAGACAGAGACAGAGAGAAAGAGAGAGTACGACAGCCTACGATGGGCTCCGGCAATTAAAATGTGGGTATCCTGGAATCGGTTCTGAGATTCAAGAATTTTCCGCAACTTGAAGGTCATTGCATTATTTTTTGCGCTCTGGTCTGACACACTACTCTCGAACTGGCTACAATGCGTGAACAATTTCTAGATCTACTAACACGGACCTCGTGCTACTAAATTCGCCTGCTTGATCACCTCACCTGATCTGACCTGATCAAGGACTGGGATGGTTATCATAGTTTACCGAGGGGTTTCCACAACCTTGCCCCGAAAGATATTGAACTTCTGGAACATTGTTCCCCAGCCCGTCTCCCCCTCAAGGGCTCAGGGAGATGGATCACTAGCCCACCTTTGCTTGCAGGGATTCTTCTTGAAGTTTTGTTTGCGGTGTGGAACAGAGGACTCAAATCTTGCATTTAGTTGTGATACTTGAACACATGATCTCAGGTACCCGTTTGATTTGTTGGCGTGGGCAAAGTTTGTCAATTATGGATCTGATTCGACCGAGTTTTGCAGTATGATGTGAGCAAATAATCTTGAATACGCCCGCCCGCAGTGCTGCAGTCTGTGTCTCATCGCCATCATCATCATCATCAGAGGCCTCAGGTCTGAGTCCACGAGGTACGTCAGTAGCGTTTCTCTGGTATGAAATCCAGACAAGCTTGATGGGCGGGGAAGGCATGATGACGCATATCTCGGGGCCAGATTCTTCATTGGTCAAGCGGGCATGCGGACTGTGTGAGCTCTGAGTACTGCTCCATCCGAGATCAACCGCAAGAGAATCTGCTATGCTGAGGTCCTCGAGTTCTCAGAATCCGCACTCCGCTGCAGCGAGAGTTTAGATCACATCAGTATCTGAGCTCGATAGAGCTCTATCGTCTGCTCACAAAAGCAAAAGAATTTAGGGCCTGTGACAGACAGGGCCGCGCCTGACGGCTCACAAACTTGAGAATGTGACATCAATGTGGGATAGACCAAAATCGTATCTTCTGACAAAAAGCAGACCCAGACTGATCCCGCTGCGTTATGACAAAATGAGAAGCTCCTTCACGGCCAGCTTTTGACGTACAGCCCCTGCTGCTTGACCATTCCCCGCCCCACGACAGCTGCTCCCTCCTGCTCGGGCCCTGTCTTGTATCTCCAAACCTCGACACTGGCACGAGACGTACCAGCCACAGAAATGGGCTCGTTCGTACGCAAGTTGACGTTCAGTGTCTCGGCGTAAATCACCTGAAACTCTCCACACTCCACTCTCCTTTCTCCGAGTTTTACATTCGACGAGGCTTGCATCTGCTGCGTGTGATTAGCCCTCATGGATTACTACGAACTCCTGCAAGCAGAGTTCGAGTTTGGAGAAATCCTGGCGTGAAGGCGAAGTGAAGAAGGACTTTCTCTCATATTCTTTGCAAAGAGACATTCTTCCCTTCCCCTTCCCCTTCGACGGTGACACGAATTCCATCCTTGCGCAACAAGGCCCGCTGAGCTCTAGAGAGCAACATCCCCACGTCAAGAACATGAGCATGTTGCTTTCTAAGTGAGAAGACAAAACTCCTCTCTGACAGACTCGATGCACAGAACCAATGATTGGGTGCTGATAAATGAGCATGTTTGCAATATTTAGCTGCGGTGTTGCACCTTCTTCGTAATTTCCTCTTCAATTTCCGTCTCATAGAGGAAAGGCCGATCCCAAGAAAGGCCGATCTCAGCTGGTTCAAAGAATGGAAGAAACCCTCGACAGTTCCAGAGCGAAAGTGCTCTCTCCACGCTCACATTCTGGCATTATTGCAGCGACCTGATTTTCTTCTTTACTGCCTTGCACGAGGGCATATTCGGAACGCGATTCCCACTTTCAGCGAGGCTCATGTATAATGACGATGATTGGAAGAGGCAGTAGAAAATGACTGGAAGTGTCAGGAGGTGGTATAATGATGCTCTCGAGGTCGTGGCCGCAAACACGCTGCGTTAAGTGCACAAGATGCTGCCCATGGTCACAAGGCAGTTGCATGTGATCGATGACGGGCAAAGGAAGATCATAGATATCTGACTTGACGATGCCTAACGGACTCGATGGGTCCATGACAGCGCTTAGTGGCGAACTTCAGTGCATAGTTAGTTACAGAGACAGAAGATGAGTCGAAGGGCGATGCGATTTCGTGACAGGAGCAGATTTACTAAGTGCAAAACAAAAGACATGCGACGAACTGACAATAGCCGACTACACGTGAAATCAGGCATTTATATAACAGATTCTGAAAGATAATAACTGTCAAGAAACATGCGGGTGGCTATGTAAGCACAACTCTGCGGGTGTAAAACGAGCACGGTGGTCGACACGTCCATCCATCGTCTTCTGACCATTGGAGAGGGACGCTAGGTAGAACTACTGCGGCTGCTGCTGCTGCTACTGCATATTGAGAAAATACTCCCCTCTCACCTCGTAACGACCAGCGCCAAACAATACGCCTCTCTCTCTCTCTCTCTCTCTCAGGGGAGATCTGCTGGCACTAATTGAAGTAGGCAGCTAGAATCTTTGCCTAAGCTCAGTACTTCGTAGCAATGTCCACCGACGGTGTATATACAAAACCATTCGCCTGATGACTAGGGATGACCACCTGGTCCAATTTTTAGTATCACGGCGGTTTATGTCCAAGGTGATCTCTAGCGTTCTTCAATACATCGTCGAATTCTCTATACCATCAGAGGGAGCTACCGAACTTTGGTTCTTGAAACGAAATAAAAATTCTTTGCTGTTGCTTTACACTTGTGGGCAAGCTCATAGTCCCCAACATATAGATATCATATCAAAAAAGCATAGTTAAATGCTCAGACCCACCTGAACAAATAATGTGTCCAAACAAAGCTGCAACATCACTTTTACAGAATTCACTTATGGACAGGACATACACCCTACCAATCAGTACAAATCCCACAATTTATCAACCTTCCCGACGATGGAGTCTGAAAGACCCTGCCTCAATCACAGCAGGAATCCAAGCAACAATGCACAAATTCACAGCGGTGACATCGGAAGCAAGAAATCTGGAAATATTCACAGGGGTACACGCAACACACGTAGAAGATCACAACCAGGCATAGCCTTGAATCTGCCCACAGCCCGCCGCCTAGCCAAGCGCTGGCTAGTTCATTTCTTCGGAAAAGTTGCCCCTCATTGGCCAACCGCGACCGGTTTGTTCGGTGGGTCTGCAGGCTGAGGCTGAGGCTGGACCACCACGAGTGTCTGCATCGGGAGGAATTTCTCATTGGGTGCTTGACCTGGGAACCTATGGCTAATATTTTAATCTTCGTGCCAAACCTAAGCTGGAGTACCGTGTACATACAAAATAGTTGCGAATGGGGCGGATGTCACATCGTTGTGGAGCAGACACGCATTCGATTTGATGCGTGTCTGAGACACACAGTTGGAATGCTTTTGGTTATTTCCTGTCTGGAGACGTCGTCCCTTTTCGGTGGTTCAGCTCATGTTTCAACCTGAGGCAGTAGATTTCTTACAGCGATTCCATCCCCGCACATTGCCCTGCTCGGACGCAATGGCTCGGTCGGGGGAGATGTGTCCAACCTGAGACTTTTTTCCAGACATTGGAGAGGATAGTAAACTCTGATTGTTGAAGATGATCTTTCTGCCGACGTGAGGACATGCTTATGATCGTCATCGGATAATGTGCGCCTCCCGCCACGGCCAAGTGCTCCACTACACCCAACTTCATCTCGTGCGTCAAAAGGCTTCGTCAATCGAATTTTTACCGAGCGTGCTGAAGTCAAAAGAACTCGCGCCTAGGCATCTATCGAAAGGGTGGGTGGGCATCACACTAAGCGTCCTTTCGCGACTCGGCTCGCAGGTACTAAACCTGTACTGCATCATCATCCGAGAGTAGTAGTAGGGCCATAGAATTGAACCCCATGCTCAGATGATGTACATCCTTCTTCCGTCCGCTCGCTCATGGGAATGAGAGCTCGCTTCGGACATGAAGGGGCAGTTTCACTTGGATCGTGGAGAAACAAGCATCTTTCGGACATGATATAGATGAGCTTTTCGAGTCTTTCATTCCGAGGGACTTTTGCTTAAAAGATTAAAAGTGGAGGTAAAATCTAGTGCTCGTTAGGGCAGATGCGACTGCATAGTCGTCCTAGATCACACACACACACCAACTGGGGAGGGGGAGGTCCCTTTGCCACCCTACACAGTTCATGTTGGAGCTGCTTTTGGATGGCCAGCAGATGAGATTTTATTGCCCACATCCAAAGGGTGGGGTCGCTTTGAGACGGTCCAAATTGTGCTTGGAATGGTGCCTTTAGGCGAGTGTTTTAAGCTTCACTTTTGGTGGGACACATGCACTCGGGATCTCTGGATCTCTCGATCGAAACATGCAGCTTGTCATTTTGTGGCGTGGGATTACCTGCATCACCTTCTCGCCCCAAATTCAAGGAGGGGTTTATGGAAAGGAATTTGATGTGAGCGTGATGATGAGTAGAAAAAAGAGGTGGATTTTGTTGGCTTGTGCTTCAACAAGCTGCTCAATGGCCTTGTTAGACAATGATTAAGTGCAACATCATGCGGGTAGCCTTCGATCGTAGCACGAACTGAGGTGCAAACTGGATCTGGATCTGGGAAGCATGTGCGTCTCTCAGTCTCAGAGAGGAAATTCCGCTGGCTTGTCATCTTGTGGCGTGACGTTCAAGGATCTCGTTCCCTCCGAACGAACGAAGCTGCTCGTCACCTGCTCTCGATCGCTCGCTCGCTCCCACAGCCACAACATGGTGCATGTACCTGATCGAGCACTTTCACCTCTCGCAGATTCATCTCGTGTCAGTAGTCTCATGCGGCTCCTCGCAACTTGTGCTCACCAAAGGGTTCTGAAACTCCTGAGGATGAACGACTGAAGGAACGGGTCGGTTCATTCCCTGAGCTCTTCTTTCGATGCAACAAAGATTCGTCACTTGCTCATGAATCCTGTTCACGAGCCAGTAGCAGGATTCTCGGTAACTTTAGAAACGCGAATTCTCCCCTCACCGCCCCGCGACGATCACATCCTCTCCTCCTGCTCCTGCTCGAGCTACTTTTGCAGCTAGACCGGCCGAGTATCACGTACCGCGGTGCTTGTGGATGAGAAGGATGGTTCGGCTTTCCCAAGTGGATGACGGATTGTGATTTTGTGGCTTTCTTTTTCTCCATTATGATATGCCTCTCCCGTGCTCTCCAGCCGGGAGACACGGGACTCACACACCGGCGCAAATCTGTAGCTGAAAAGAAGCCATTATCCACTGCTCGCTCTCCGCCTACAATCTGCAAGCAGATGCGATGGAGTCCACCTCCTGCTCCTGCACACTCACTCACTCGCAACACATCCATCACATCGGCAGCTGAGCGCTGTTCAGGCTCGGTCATCGGGGCGTGCATCCATCCCTTTTGGTACTAGAAAGATCAGGCTAGAGCCCCAGTTGGCCAAGTCCGCACACATGCGCTAGCACCATTCGCATACGAGTGAGTCTGACACTCACTCACTCGCCGAACGAGCCCCGAGAACATCCGATAAGATAACGTGAAATACGTCCCATACATTCACACCTCCCTCCAGTCCAGTCAAAGGGAAATGCGATGCTGGATCCTCTTCACGATAGATCTCCTTCCTGCCATTCGTGTGTGACGAGGAAAAGAGGGAGATTCATCGAAGAAAAGGCGAGATGTGAGCACATCCATCGCGATGCAAAGCCAGAGCAGTCGTGAAAAATCCCACCGGGGGCTCGAAAGGAAAAGACAGAGCTAATCATGAAGGCCTCCCATGTCTCTCCTACACGCCCACCAGGTG